GGCGCGGCAGGAACCAGTGTATTACTGCACACACGTTTTCACCACCACGACAGTGAAACGCGAAGGGAACTTGTGAAAATAACTGAAGTTTCTTTTCAAGTTACAAATGTAAGTAGGCAAACATATAAATACAAGCATTTTGATGCGAAAAAAGCTATTGAGAGGTGTTTTGTGAAAACAGGAAACTCAACAGGATTTCATTTTCTATTTTTTAAAATTTCTTCTTAAATTTGTGTTTCTAACTTGCTGATAAAAAACTTAGGGCCACGCTGAAAAATTAGGGTGAGTCAGGGAGCGGAACTATTTATTGGAGGGCCTTAATGTTTCTGCTGTAACTGCTATTGTTGTTTACATGAACACTCATGCTGTCCCTCCCTATCTGCTCTTCAATATTTTTCAACACAATTTCATATACATGTATATGCTGTCTTGAAATTCAACCAATTCAATGAATTCCAGGTTTCTATGTAAACCAGTTTGTTATAAATCCTCGATCTCTCCCTCTTAGCTTTCCCTCAAAAGAAAAGTTCCGCAAAGGACACCACAATCCATAATTTTCCACGAAAATTCACATCTAAATTGCTATTTCAATTTGTCTAAGTTGCAATACATATGCATATAATTTCATACGACCGTTCCAGTGTAATCTATAGTATGACCATGGTATAACAAAACAGGTGTTACCTGCTGTGATGGGGTCAAAGGGTTTTGTACATGTACACTCTTCGGGACAAATGGCGCCCTCTGCATTGCGTCAAATGTCCTTTAATTGCCCCCTTGGGTATACAAAACACCATGGACCCTTACACATGCACTAGGCAATGTTTGTTAAATGTTTCTCTCAGTTACACCAGTGCACAAGCACTTACCCCTTGTAAGACTGCTTGAAGAACGCTAGGCATGTCAAAGCAGAAGTACGTTCCAAATGTCAACATGCAGTTGAAGAATAATACCACAAAACGGTAGTAAGCTGCAAACAATCACATTACAAATGAAGATATCAACTAAGGTACCACTGCTATTGTTTACAGCGAGTCAACAACATTGCATGCATCGGTAATTACCGAATAAATCTATTAATCCTCTTAAAAGAAAAATCCTTAAAAGAAAAAAAGATAACTTCTTCCATGAAAAGATTGACTGAGAAAAAAAATGGAAAAAGCGTGCAATGTCTGACGCCATTTCCATTAAAACGAAAGTAAAGAGAAATATATCCTATTTAAATTGAAATTCGATTGAGACTGTATTGCTTTATTGGGAACGGAAAAAAAATCTGCACCTTGCAAAATTTCCTGGCTGGGATTCCATCCCAAAATGTCCTGGCTAGGATTCCATTCTGTGACAGCATGCTCTCCAGCCACAGGTCAAGCTTGGCAAGCACTGGCTGCTTCATGCTTGCCAAATTTTACTATTCCTTCCTCAAAGATTTTACACACCTTACTGTCAGTTTTGAAGGCACTCTCTTCCATTCCAGTGGCAAGAATGGGAGAATACAGCAGTTATCTCAGTAAGTACTAGCAGTTTGCAATAGGCCTAGGTGCACCCTCCTTTCCCGCACAATTACAAAGACACGTAAACACAACAGAAATAGATCGGGAAATAATCCACGTGTCAAGGTCTTATCAAATATCAGAAATGTTACAACACAACAATGCTTACTTTTTGATGCATCCATCTTCACTTGCTGTCACCACAGATGAGTTCCTTGTTAGACCCTCTGTCTCTCAACAAATAGTCCAACCAAAAAAGCAGGGCACAGATGCCGACAAATGTGGCAAAAAACAGCAGAATGTGGATATAACTTCGTGTTTATAATCAAGACAATAGTTTACTAGCGGAGTCCACCGCGCAACACACTGCGCGCACTGGACCCATTCCGGTGTGAAACCATCGTAAGAAGTTTAGAACAGCGCCCTCTATTGGGCAATAAGCCATAGAAAGACAGGAACTGAGGAAGCGCAGCATCTGATCTGATGAGATCCTTATTCCATCCTGTCCACGATCCAGCGAAGTACATGTATTGATAATACTGGACTCTCTTTTACTTGCTGTAAGTACAAAACTTTGTTTATTTTTTATCAGCCACACATATGCAATATACTTACCATTTATTAATAAATGAAGCATCTATGATCTAGACTTCCTCCATGCGCACGTACGGACTAGACACGACGATATGACATGTACAGTACATGTAGCCTCTGTAGGCGCATGGAGGAAGGAACACAGGCATTAGGCCTAGGCCTGTATCCAAAACAGGTGGCCGATTTCACCTTGATCCAGATCAGATAGATTTGATTTAAATCACCAACTGAAATTGCGATGTAACATGGTTACTTGGGAAAAATCACCGATTTAAAGCAATGGAGAGCAGTGAGTGGATCTAGCATGTTTAGAAGGGAAGGATTAGCCTTGATCCAATTGGAAGCTTGATTTTTCCAGACATGGTTGCCTGAGTGATAGTATTACTATTAGTGATCGGCCTACTCCATATTTGAATTCATAATCTTAATTGTATCCAGTCCACACAGCTCAGGTATGGTATGTTGAGAACAACTATCATTTTATCCGTTTTCTAGACAATTTAAACCCAGTTAATTTTTGTATTTAGTCTGTATAGTAAAACATTTTTCCCGAATGAAAAACTTTCAATTCACACATAGCTTTGAGAAGAAAAATGCCAAAGTGATGATTGATCATCGACTGTAATTTTATGTGGGTGCATGGTTTCATTCAAGAGTTTCACAACGAGAAACTTGGGTGTGCGAATATTTGAATGCACGAATTTACAGGTAAAGTACTCTACAATATACAAGTGTGTTCCTAGTTTTTCATATACGTTTACATATTTTTATTCATCCCAATTTAATGACTTTCCTTCATTTACTCAAGGACAACTGCATTAGTTATGTCTCAAAATATGGCATCACATGAACAGTTCTTCCGTCTGGTAGCGGAACGACTTCATGCTCACTGGGAGCCACTGGCGACACATCTAGGACTTTCCAACGACCGAATAACCAGCATAAAACAAGACCAACCTGACACCGAGGAACAGATTTTTGTTATGCTTATGACATGGAAACAATCAAATCAGCCAGGAAATGCCATCCTGCAAACATTAGCAAGAGCATTGGGAAATTGCGGCAGGCGAGATATGGAAGCGGAAATCTTACAAGGTATATGCACAATACCTTTTTATTTAAACTGCTCCTTCCAGGTACTCTGCTTCCATTTGATACCTGAGTTTTCAAACATGGCTTGTACTTGCGTCAAGGGCTTCACTATATTAACCTCATAGTTTACATCTTATTGTGTTGTAGTGGCCAAAATGTGTCACCTGCCTCCCAAAACCATCCTTTAGTTGCAAAAAGTATCTTACAGTAACAGTACCGTAGGTTGAAGTATCATTGTATCATGTTCATTTCCATTTCTGGCTGCTTGGGTTAAAGATCTCCCATGACACAGCTAGAAATTTTGTATAGCTGCCTCCATTTGTGTTCTCATACTATAAACAGAAAGTTAGTGCTCGACAAGGACTCCATTAATTACTTCATCAACCTAAAGTCCCTCATTCTCCAAGACCCTGAAACCTCCATCAGAAGGTTTGCGGATTAAGAAGGGTTCCAGTAGGCAGAATCCACCTGCTGTTGTTCTACATAGGGCTTTTGCTCCTTGAAAGGTTGAGGTTTGGAGATTGACCCTTTGACTTTCTGCACAGCAAAGGATATTGAAGATTCAGGAAATTTTGTAGCAAAACTTGAAGGCAAGAAGAGGCTATTATCAGAAAGTCTCTTGCTACATGTATGTCTGACTTCTTTGCAAATAGGTACCTTCCTACGACCTGAAGATTCACCACAAAGTCCCAAAAGTACAAGTGGAAAACTTGTCAGTAAGTGAACTCTCCTTTTTTTTTAAGAGTTAGTGTCCTCCATCAAAATGTATATGTACATACCAAGTTTTCCAAAATTAGTTCAATATGTTCCTTGACATTGCACTATCTTCTTAACATCTTCCTCCTTGCTCCTTTCAGAACAAATTTCCAGACCAGACATTATCCATCAAGATTCTCTCTCTAGGTCATGTATAGGATTAAAATTTCCTTATGTGAAAATGCTCTTAAAAGTTTCCATAATGATGGAGAATTTATGTGCTATAGCCCCATCCACCCAAGGTTGTAATATTGATGTTTTCACTCCTGTCCACGGAAGCTGTAAGTAATCACGCCTTTTATTTTTTCCTTGTCCAGCCATTCCTGACGTTCTCACTGAAGTGAAACTTCGCAAACTCTCCGATCATCTGGCAGGGGAGTGGCAGTCATTGGCCACCTTCCTGGGCGTATCTTCCGAGATGGTGGGCAAGATCAGACGTGACTACCGCGGCATCCAGGAGCAGGTTTTCCAGATGTTGATGAAATGGAAAAATGCCCAGACGCACAAGGATCCACTGGGGTGCTTAGTCACAGCTTTGCGAGACGTCGGACGGCGCGACTTGGCCGAACAACTAATGTTTGGTGAGTCCCACTCGTTTTTGTTTTATTCATTTATTTATTACACGTACATTTCCTTACCCATCATAAACCGAAATGGTGTGAGCTGTTTCCAACTCAGGCGTGCATAACAGGTTGCTTGTGAAAACTTAGTAAAATAAGTAAAATGCTCAGTTAAATGATCGTTCATGAAAAAGACTGTGAAGATTAATACTTCAAGATACAGATTTACACAACTAAGTCTGAACATTTCCACATAAATGTAGGTATGGCAATTACTGATTTACAAGGTAGGAAAAATCCAGCAAAAAGTTTGGGGAGAAAAATTTGAAAATTTTGTGCTAGTTCTAATTTATCAGAGCAAGGTTCTGCATTTAGTACATTTAGTAGTCCATATAAAATTTATATTCATTTAATGAACTTGCCCACCAAAGCATTTGAGTCCTAATGTCAGTCCTGAGTTGGTTCATTTTAGCTTTCCATTATTTTGCATTACAGATGCGATATGATGCCAAAAGGTTGAACAGAATAGAACCGATATTGAGGAATACCAGAATATGGACATTGGACTTAACACACCAGGACACCAGGTTGAGTTTTTCATAATAATATTGTCCTGTGCCTTGTGGATTGTCTCCATGGAAGAGGGGATTTTGCTCACGTTTAAAAGGGCAAGTGCAATGAGGACTTTGACTTGTAGTGCCTAAAGCACATGTTTTCTAGAAGAGAAAAGCGTAACCCAGATTGGTCACCTAGTGACATACATGTAATGATATCGCCCAAGCTCCAAGAGTCGGATTTGTACATTTTTTAAGCATTGTCATGCCTGGATATTAACGGTGAACTTTTTCAGGGAGTCACAAAAACAGCAAGTCTGGTCCGAGCCAATGTGGCTCATCAGGCTGGTGTTTGTCTCCAGTTTCCTTGGCATGAAACAACCGAGAATATTTCTCTTCCCCCCTGGATGGGATGCCAGTCCATCACAGGTTGCTTCCCCAACTGATGCTGATACCCATTTATTCTACCAAGTGGAGAGAGGCAAGCACGGGTGAAGTGGCTTGCCAAGGGCCACAACATACTTCCAGCAGCTGGATTTGAACCTCCAACCCTTTGATTGGAAGTCACAGAGCCAAACCACTTGGCTACATGTCCCCCTCAGTGAGTCATAAACGATCTGTAAACAAACCATGTTTTTTTCTGTAACTTTGTATGAAAAGATGTAACTGTTACTCTATCAGCTTTGTTTATATTGTGACATTATGCTTTACCGCAGGATTTTACAATCTGTTTTGATACAGGTATGAAAGTTGTCCAAGGCCAAGCAAAGAAAATTTTTATGTTTCTGGTTACCCAACCCCACAAGGAAATTCACACAAAATTTATATATCTTTTTATTTGAAAACTTGGAAACTTAAAATACCAATCCAGAACATGTCTTTGTGGGGATTTTCTTTTCTTTCCTTCTTGTGTTTATTTGTTTAAGCTTGTCACCTTAAAAACGCACCCTGCTCTTGTGTGTTTATCCCCACAGCCACTTTTGTCTAAATCTAGCTTCCCCCAATCCTTCAACCAGTAATTGTACAGTACAGATTTGTAGTACTTACCCAAACATTTTGATAGTGTCATCATTGCCTCTTGGGAACTGTTTCAAATGTTCATAGAGAAATTAATCAACTGTCCACCCTAATATATTTGCCAAACGAAAAATTAGAGGAAACAAAAAAGAGTCCAGCCACTTGCCCCCTCATTATTTTTCCATGTGGTCGGAAACACATCTGTTTTGTCCCTTTGTTTTTAGCCTAAACTGCTGTGTCTGGCAGTAGAGCTGTTATGACATGAGTGTCCCAATTGTTGGACCCAAAATGGTGGAATATGAGTCAGTAGACATGGACAATCAGCACAAAATGGCTGCATGCTGTACTGCACACATAATGAACAGCCATTTTGGTTCCAAAGTTGGCGCCACTCTCTGGATGTACATGTACAGCTCTGATGACTATGACATGACGCTGCCATTCTCCTGTCATCTGTGCACTGTCATAACATTCACATACCATGTGACTAGACTACACCTTGTAATCCTTGTGATTAAACCTTGGTGCCAAGGTTTAGGAGTTGTGGGAATGTACAATGGACGTGAAACAAGTGGAGACTGCAATTTGCTGACCAGTTGAGTTTGTCATTAAAATCCTAACCAACTAGAATGAGTGGAAATCACAATGACAATGGTAGATTGACGATTCTTTGTTTTCACTTCTGTTGCGCTCAAAAGTAGTTTCTAACCTTGAAAGAAAAGTGTACACTCTTATGGAAGAATTTGTTCATACTGTGTCTTAACTGTTTCTTTGAGCATTGGTGCAAAATGACGATGATTTCCTTTGCGATGTTTCTATTTTATCGCATAAAAACTGATGAAATTGTCAAGTTAAAAGAAAAACATAATTTACTTGAGCAAATACTTTATTATTTTTGAAATAATGGTTTTTTTTTGTAAAATCACTGTGTTGAGTATGTATGATGAGAATATGTTATCCTTTGTCTTACTACTCCTGTTTGTCAAACTGTAGGCATGTAGACTTTTTCTGATACATAAACCACAGAGTGAACCATTAGACCTACTTATATTTATCAGAGGTGAGGGTGCTGTTAGCTAATGCACATGTATTATTCCCTAATAAACATAACTGCTAACTTAATATGTGCCCAGTTGGATGGACATTTGCATGTAGAGCACATAACAGAAAGTTCATGCATAGACATTGTGGGTTGGATGGGCTCCAGAGAGATTTAGTTATTGAAAAAAAAAACAAAAGGGAAAGAAAAGGAAACAAGTGGATTTAACTTGCCAGTTTGTTTGACATTGCTTCAGAACTGATCCTTTCCACTTTGACATTGCTTCAGAACTGATCCTTTCCACTTTGATATTGCTTCAGAACTGATCCTTTCCACTTTGACATTGCTTCAGAACTGATCCTTTCCACTTTGACATTGCTTCAGAACTGATCCTTTCCACTTTGACATTGCTTCAGAACTGATCCTTTCCACGGTTGATAGCCTGTCAGCACTCCCCCAGCAACTCCCTCTTCAAGTTTGATTTTTTTCTGCTTCTCTCTTCCTTATTATAAGTTACTTCTAAGTACTTGTGATAAGTTAACTATGATAAGTTACTTACTCCAGTTGGGTACAGTAAATTGAGTAAGTGTTATAAACAGCAAACTTCAAGGAGTTTTATGATGGCAATGGTCAATTGGCAACTCAAAAAATGAATTGAGATTAAAATAACATTCACAAACTTTCTTAAGAATCCAATTATTTTGTCAATTCTGTGTAATTTATCAAAGCCATTGTGAGAAAGATTTTGATTAAAATTTATTTTTGAATAAGGGGGGCATTTGAATGATAGATACGATTGAGTGAAGATTATTGTGTGAATTTTCTTTTGTTGCAGTTGCTATAGGTAACATAAAGATATTTAATTTCTTGTTCTGAGATTTTTAACTGACTCATTATATTTGTTGAGGAGAAGTGCATATTGTGCTTTATACCGACAGGTGTTTTTTTAAATTTAGTATAATATAACAACCTTTTGCAATATTTCATTGGAAGTAATTACTAAAATTTGCTTTGAGCGGACTTGGGCACATGATGCTGACATTGTTTAAATTTTTCTGTTTTGGATTTGGTAGTTTTGTGCGGCAATGTAAGTTATTTACCAGGAAAAAAAATATATGTGTAAGTTTTCAAGTCGAAGCGTCTGGCGCTGAGCTGGCGTTGCAATTTCATGAGGGCGCTATTCAGGTTTACATTTAGTCGAGTCGCGGAGAGTCCAGTCGCGCGAGCTCCCGCGGCCCGGGGAAATCCCTAAAAGTACTATAAAATTTTCTAGGCCCAATTTCCGGCGTATCATTGGCGTTGTTCATCTCCACGGAACGGTAAGAGGCTAGAGGACGATTATACAAACATCTTTATTATTAAACTCTGTTCTCAAGCTGTATTTCTGAGAAGTTTGGCGTGCTGAATGTTCTTGCCACATGCTTTTCCATTTTCTTCGCTCATTTTTTTCTTACAATAGGCTAGTAGAATTAGCCCCACTAGTGTGGCACGGACTCTCGCTCCCGATCCAAGGATGGATCGGGAGTGAGAGTCCGTGCCACACTAGTGGGCTAGCTGGTAGTGGGCCTGCTACGATGAGAAAACAAAATGAACAAAGGAATGATTGGGTCTAGAGCTGTCACTACTCAGACCCAGTAGTAGTAGGCAGTATGTAGGCCCATTTCACTTTGGGGACCCCAGATTTTGTCAATTTATTCTTGCAAACCTGGTCTGTCCCCACCCAAAATAACACAGGTAATGCTCTCTTGTTCACTGGGGAGCCGGTCAACTTGGTCCGTAACCAACTCGGTCCGAGTCAACTCGGTCCGAGTCAACTCGGTCCCAAGTCAACTCGGTCCCAAATCTACTCGGTCCCATTTAAGAGTTGCAACCAAGAACACTACTTTCCAAGCACGCCATAAATGTGACTGACTCAATCCATTGTCGAAGGGCCAGAGCCCTGTAATTGAGAAAACCAAGCATAGTAATATGCCATTCGAATGCACTGGATTTTTGCTTTTTATTAACCACGGGTCTATTCAGAGCACGCTGCAAATTAATGATGAGAACTTTTTCGGAAAGACATGTAATTCTTTGTAAAGCAGTTCCTGTTTAATTTTAGAACTTTGAACCTTGTTTTAAAGGAATTGGTATATCAAAATAAGAAAATAAATTGAAACTGTCAACTGACAAAAAGCATTATTATGAAATGCCGATCATGTCCTGTAATTCAGTTGTTGGTTTTACCTTCATTATAATTATATAATGTTTGGTCTTCACCTTTATCACGTTCAGTAATAAACGAAACTGGGGGCGAATGAGACGCAACATCGTTTGAAAGGGAAACCTTTTATGGTTTAATGCATCAAATTATCATGACTTGCAGTGCAAATCTCAATTGTATACATGATTTGCATTAGTTCCAAAGTTCACATAATGATTATAACAAACAGGAAATAAGATACAGTGGAAAACACACATTTAAAACAATACAAAATTACTAAGTAACAACTGAAAATTGATAATTTCTTCAATCTGATACTGTGAAAAGCCAAGACAGAAGTCTTTTCCTTCCACCCTGATTCTTTCAAAATGCAAAGAGAAATCTTATTTCGACCACATTGCGGACATTGCCGATGTCATCGGGCATTTTGTGCAGTTGTGGGTGAAGTGACCCGACCATCATGTACCGCCCATTGAAATAATTAATGATCTCCAACATTGACTTGGGACCGAGATAACCTGGGACCGAGTTGACTCGGGACTGAGTTGACTTGGGACCGAGTTGGTTACGGACCGAGTTGACCATAAAGCCTTCACCGTGCTGACCGCATTGTTTTGGAAATTTCGAATCGAAAATTGTGAGAAAATGTGACTTTCTTACCTATAAAGCAGCCATGCAAATTTTAATCCACCATGTGTCATGTGTTGAAACACAGTTTCTGCTCATACAATATCCCTCAAAACCATACCCTCTGTTCACACCGTTAACCCTGCTGTCAGTTAATGACCCCGATGTCACACTCATCTACCAAGCTGAATCCATCAGAAGTTAAAATGTAGGTCCGCTTCTGTTACAGGAATGGGGTAAAATGTCTCAATGCTATTTCATACCTGTGATCCCTATTTTTAGGATGCCTCCTGTAGAGTACTAAAGTGTGACATCATTTAGAACCAGTAAATGCCGCACAAAAGAATGGAGTATGCACGGGGATTGGTTCATGGATTGGTTCTTGTGCTAATGCCTTTTACACACAAGATTGGGCATGTGACGTCACTCTGTACTCTGTATGCCTACATGTTGTTTTTGAATGGATCCAGAAAATTACAAAAGATAAAGTACATGTATATGTGTATTATTTTTTTGAAAAACAGCCAGCATATTGCTTTGAAATCGAATAATCGCTTAGACCAGCCTTTCATGAACTGATGAGTTTTTACTGCAGTGTACACGTATGGTTTGTGGTAGGATAGAAGGACCGTGTTTATTTCACATTGATCTGGATCATGATCAGTGATCTGTCATTGGTTTACAGATGCCAAAACTCACCTAATGGATGGTGGGAACCAGCGTTAGGATCACTGATCTAGATCACATGGATCTGGATCACGATCAGTGATCTGTCATTGGTTTACAGATGCCAAAACTCACCTAATGGATGGTGGGAACCAGCGTGAGGATCACTGATCTAGATCACATGGATCTGGATCCCGATCAGTGATCTGTCATTGGTTAACAGATGCCAAAACTCACCTAATGGATGGTGGGAACCAGCGTGAGGATCACTGATCTAGATCACATGGATCTGGATCATGATCAGTGATCTGTCATTGGTTTACGGATGCCAAAACTCAGTGCAAACAAGTGTTAGGATTTCTGATCGCGATCCAGATCCATGTGGAACAAACAGGTCCCATGGGGGGTTGTATGCCATATCACACACTTGCTACATTCAATTGCAAGAAAGTGTAAATCATAATCTGACCATATGCTTATGCATCAATGATCCCCCGTTTTATCCAACCATGCACTGCGATAAACACTGTGATACATTGTACATCACCGTCACATATACATACATCTATTCCCTCGTTGGATTTTTTTTAGGAGGGAAAAGGGTAAAAATTGCACTGCCGGTGCATTGGAATTCTGTTTCATAAAATGAGTCCATGATAATATCAAGATTATATTCAGAGTCAGTTTTCCACTGCCGAAAAGCAGCATGTTATTTGCAACAGTTGTGGCCAAGGCAGTTTGTGTTCTTAAGTTTGGTTGAGAGGTTTCCAATATTTTAAGATAATTAAGAAACCACAGTGAAATATTTAAAAGTCCTGCTCACTGAAAGATAAGCTATGAAAGTTTTCTTTTGCCTCATAGGTAGATCTCCAGCACCATTATGGCCAGCTCTATGGAAACTGCAGACTTGAGTATTCTTTCTGTTGACTGTAGTGACGGAGACAACCCCTACATTAATCTGTATGCCTGTAAACCAGAGGAAGTCTTCCGATTGGTTGCTAAACGACTTGATGCCCACTGGGAGCCCATAGCAACATCTCTTAGCATCTTAAATGAGGACATTGTAACCATCAAGAAAGAATACACAGAGCTAGATGAGCAGATCTTTCAGATGTTTGTGAAGTGGAAATCTGCCAGTGGTGTAAAAACCACTGAGGAAATTTTGAAGGTGTTAACAACTGCCCTTTGGAATAATGGCAGAAGAGATTTAGCTTCAGAACTTGAAACAGGTAAGCAGAGAAACTGATAAGAGCCATCCTGTTTTTGTTCCTGTGGTTTCTTTTTATTTTCAAGGACATATAAAGCATTTTCTTTCCCAGAGACCCGAGTGCAAACAAACTGAAAGGGCTCTATATTAGACTATGTACTGAGTTGTCACAGGTTTGTGTGTGCAGGCAGGGCATACATAGCGTGGACCTCTGCACAAAAGAAGTCCACATAGTGTAGGGTGCCATGGCGTTGTGTGGACTCCCACACGTCCACACAATGTTTTACCCTCTCTGAAAAACAGTTTCAGAGGCATTTTTGGGTTAAGGTTGTCCATGGCAAAATGAAGAGGAACAGTCCAGGGAATCATCATCAAAAATCCAGCTCAAAGGAGTTATCTTAGTTGGAGAAAAAGGAGCATTTTCCTCAAGTTTCCTTAACCACAGGAGAACAAAGGAATGTCCACACATTGTATGTTACACAGGTAGGTGTGTGTTTGTGTGTGGTGAAGGGAATATTTTGATAATCATGGTGGTGTCCAACTCTCGTTACTCTTTTCTTGTAAAGGTAAATGGCAAAAGCCTTCTGAGCCCGTTATACAGACTATGTCAAGTGGAAAACCTCAAGGTAAGTGTGTTCATTAAGTCGCAAGCCAAAACTTAAAGTCATGTTTGAGTCAGTAGCAAATGAACAACTGCTGTATATTTTTGAAGGCAAATAATTTCAGGCCCAATAAATTCATGTACATGTGAACTGCGATCTGTGCTTGTTCCAAGTTTGAGGGGCATAAAATGCTGTTTTGTGGATCAAGGCACAAAATCATCATTTGGTAACGTAATCAGCATTTTAAGTTTTTAGGTTTTATAGTTTGCGTATGTAGCACAGATGAATTCTACTTTCATATCTGTAGCTGAATACTTCAATCACATTTTGATTCTCCTTTGGCATGTGTAAGCAAAACCTGTTGAATATTTGGGGTTTGTTCTGTTCATGGTTTTATTTAGTTGTACGTTTTAGTTGTGTGTCCCGGATAATTACTGTGGCAATCTCAACCTGACGCAGGTAATCCAAGTGTGGGCGAACAAGTGCTGCGAACGTTGTCAAAGAAAGTTGCAGGAGACATGGAGACGCTGGCCACGTGGCTTGATGTGCCCTGTGAACGCGTCGATAAAATCAAGGAAAAGTATCGGAAGGTGAATGAGCAGACTTTCCAGATGTTGGTATGGTGGCAACGGAATAACCCAAATGTCAACCACCTGGCCTTACTGGAAATTGCACTGAAGAAAACAGACAGGCAAGACCTAGCATCCGACTTGAAGAATGGTTGGTGAAATTCTTGGAGCATTTTTTTTCTTCGTTCTAGGATTATTTCTAGTCCTTGTAACCTGTGGTGTCTTTTTTCATTAGGGATTCATCGAACCAAGCATTCTTGGCCAAAATTGACCAGAAACTGCCTTTTACTGTGTACAGTTTCTGTACAAATTGTTGGCACAAGGGTTGTGCATGGTGCAAAGTTACAGCAAGTTTGATGAAGTCAGCTGTGGGAACTGTTATTGTCGTGGTACTGCCCTTGTGCTAAGGACATTGCTTTAATGCTTCGTCTACCGATGGGATGTAGTAACTTCATTGACAAAGTGGGGTGGACCTTAAGTTTACCAATCCCTGTAACATAAGGATCGTGAACCTGTTTCTTTCACATAGATCCAATTCTCTGTCAGTAATCCTTCATTGATTCACTGGTACCAGAACCTGCCCAGTGGATGGAGCGAACCAGCCCCGGGATCTCTGATGAAGATCCAGATCTGTGTGAAATGAACAGGCCCTGTAAGATCCAGGAACTTAGCGATTAACTAAAGTATGTCACACACTGTTTTTTGACTGTTGAGATTCTTCCATGGTTAGTATGGAGCGCCTGAGGCAACAAATTCAATGTGATGAATTCTACGTGGATGAGCATTGTGCCACTGCAGTATCATGTATTTCTCTCACTCTAATAGCTTGAGACTTTGCATGGGGGACAGATACAAATTAGAAAGTTCTAAGCGACAATAAATGTGACCCACCATCCCAAAACCCAGCTGAAGTAGGTAACTTCATAAGGAATTGTTCAACATCACAAATACTGACTTCAGCCTGGTTTGGGGATGGTGAGTCACATAAGACAAATTCAGAAAAGGAAAGAAGTAGTTAGAGAAACAAATGGAAGCCCTACATTTTGGTCGTTCCCATCTCACTATCATCTGAGGCTATTCTGAGCAAAACATACAGGGGACCATTTGAACCAATCTGCACTTGCATTTGACATTACAACCCTTGGGACATGGTTACTATCGATAGTGTTGTAGTCAAGACCTGTTCAGACTATCACTAGACCTCCCATCATGAATGATATTAAATGACCTGCAACATTCCTTTGTAGTTATCCGTGCTGTAACTTGTGTCTAGTCTCACATTTGGTGTGTGATGTGCCCAACTGCAGAGTGCAACAGTGACCACGAGCCAAGAAGTTTAGGTTCATAAAGATGGATTACTGTGTTCTATTGAATATTTCATGCCAACCTTTTACTTTTTCATTTATTTGCCATGTAGGAACCCTGATGAGAGACAATTAGACACCAAGACCAACACGGAAGGTTGCCTTTTCTTTCCTCCACCATTCAGACTTTCAAACCAAATCTGTAAAGAAAGTCTAGATATAATCACTGATTTTATGGAATTTAAATGATCATTCTTAGGTAGGTTATTTACCATTTCATCCATCTTGGTAGACCAACGCGTAGTCTTTAAAAAAGACAAGTATTTTCTTCAGTTCGTAACTATTGCTGGAAAATAGTGTACTTTTTTCTATTATCATTACGTTTATTTCCTACAATCATGGCATCATTTTACTGTAAAAAAAATTTACAATAAAAATGTTACTGAATATGCTGCAGTGTTAAAGTCTTCCTGAAGACAAGTACACTCCAAATTCTTGATTCTTTTTACTTAATTCTTAAAGTGTTATGTGCTGCCAGAAAATTTAGTCAGTACTTGTACAAATCCTGCCTTTGCACTACAGACACTAATAATTATAAAGAGACTGACAAGACAGAAAGAAGGGAAGAATTTCATACAGTGTGACAATTTTTACTGTTTTACAAATAATTGTCTATGCAAAGTGCACACCATTCAGTGCTCCTTTTGCATATGGATTCAGCAAAATGCATAAATGTTGGTTACCACACAGAATCAGGGTGGTAATAGTTCAATAAACTTAACTTTGTAAGTAAATAATTGATACCGCAATATCCACCAGATACTTAGCATCAAATATGTAAACCATACTGATCTGATCTGTTCCATGAATTTATACTGTGTTTTGTTGTTTTTTTTACTGGAATTAAGTTTGTAGATGGAAATGTTTGTAAAGAAAATGAAGTGTTTGTAAAGTACTAAATCTGTGTGTTTTTAGCTGGAAAATGACATCACTCTTCCAAAGAGTTGTAAACTACTTAAACATGGTTTAGTTCGACCCTGTAAAAAAAAAAGCAAAGGCACAACTGGAAGGTACCAAAATGAGTACATTGAATGCAGCAACTTCGTGACAAGAAATGAGGCTCAATATGTAGAGATGCCTCTCAAGTAATTTTCAACTTTTGGGAGTGTTTAAGGAACCAAAGCAACATAAACACATTTGAAGGTTCTGTAAATTGGTGCTTGACTGCCCAACAAGAAAGTGTCTTGCCAGTTGTTTCCTTTCAGCCTCTTTTAAAGAAAATTATTTGATTCCTTCAAACATTCCTAGCGATATATACTAATATACTGATAAAAAAGTAACAACCATTAACATTTTAATTCACATGGTTTTAGCTTTTTAAATGTGAAACTGGTACATTGTTGTGTTTTCTGTAAAATAAGGAAGTATTGTATTTTATGGCTTTATAATAAAACTTAATACTTTATGAATTTTGACTTCATGACTTTTTTTCTGCCAAGGTAATGGGATATTTAATAAAAAAAGAAACCATTTTCTTTCACAAGGCGTATTTGTAAGTTTGTGTGTTTTTACTTTGGTGCTGTTTGCTTTCAATCAGAGGATCAACCTTGAAATTGAATATGGTTCCAGCCAGATATGCCTATCATATATCGAATCAATATCAGAATACATGAACCATAATCCTGACTTTGGCAAATATTGCTGTTGTTTTGCATTGCAAAATCTTTGAGAGTGCTTTGTAACTCCTGCAAGTGTCTTGCTGCTTCATTACCTTACAAAACGAGAGTAAGGATTTGCGGGTACATGGGCCCTATCTCTTCAAGAAGAGGTGAGGTTCTGAGCAGAACTGGTGAGTGTCAACTTGACATTTCGACCAGGATTTTCTGGCCGATCTCAGGAGAATGTGCCGGACTGGTGTATGGAGCTGGGTAATGAAAGAGGCCAGATTTGATGAAGCGTGGACTACGAGATGCTAGAAGTTGTTGGCTTGCTGGGGCATGGTCACTAAAGCATGGAGGTCTTGGGTCCTGTGGAGGTAAATTATGCCCCCCCCAGAAGTATTAATGGCCTCAAGTTTAATGCACACCCCATCATTCAGTATCTTTAATAAATCTTGTAATTAATATTCATGTAAGAAACTTTTAAATAAATATTAATCAGGGAAATTTGGACCATTTTAGTGCAAGCTTAGAGCCAAGAATGTTACTCACACATCCAGCATTAAAGAACTGAAAAACAAAAGTTTCTACAATTATATTTTGTTTTGACAAGGTCGAAGTTCAATATAGATCCCTTGTAACATAAGTTTCGTTTTAACTTTACCTAATGCATCATTCATAGTATGCAAATTAAAGATAATCAATACACCACAAATAGGCTGGCACTATTAGTGTCACATGCACACATGCAGCACAGTTTCATGCGAACAGTACATTGATCCTCACGTCTAGGTATCAGACCAATAACCGCTAGCGGAAGATTTCAAAAGAAATTGCGTGAAGAGTTCTAGCTAACTATCGGGAAGAAATCCTTGGAATAGTCAACAGTTTCCTTTTTACAAAAAGGTACTTACACAAGTCTATCTTTGGTACTTTTGTAATGTTTTATATTTATATCTTTATGATTCTTAGCTTTGTTTATAAATACTAAAAAACAGGTGTTGAGCTGTCATCATGGCATCATGGATGTAGGCTGTGCACATCCGAAGGGCAATTCGTCCATTTCCGACATTCAGCTGTGGTCGATGGTCACACTGAATTCAAGACAGTATCAAGTGCACTGTAGGCAAAAATGTAATATATAATCAGTGCCCTGAATTATGGCAATTACATGCTTCAGAGCACTGATTATATTAGGCCTAATAAGTATTATATTTTTGTGTCGGCCTATACTCTGATCACTGTGCACTGCTTAGCAGCCCTTTTTCTAGCCCCCATGTGGCAGGGACTCTCGCTACCGCTCCATCCTTTAGCCACACATCCGTATACGCAATTTGCGTGTCGCCATAGTGAAAAAGTTCGGCGCACCCTTTTATAATTGGAGGTGCAATTTTTTTTGCACACAGAGATGATCCTTAGCCTCTCCGCTTTTTTTCTTACCACCATTTATTGAATGATTTCACTCACGTTGTTGTAGTATTTTCCAGTCATTTTGCCTTCACCCATTCAATCTCACGTGCTTGCTCTCACAGTCGCCATCTTTTAAATAAGGTCGTTGAACATTACGTCTCTTGACCCCTCATCTCGACGGATGTTCCATGTCAAGACATATCTAATCTGCTGCCCAAGATTTGGAAGAGTCCATGATGTAGTGCCTTATCACTCAGTCCGTGTATTAGCTAAATAAGAGCCCCTACAGCCTTACGTGTAGGGCTAGCCAATCTGCCTTCAGTACACACCCCATTTTAGTCATTTTAATCTTCTAAAACTGCTCAGCCCCCTCAAAACAAAGGAAACTTTCGGGAAGAATTCAGACAGCAGTTGGCAGGTACATGTAGGCCCCAGGACTCCGAGCGGAACAAAAGAGCTCATGTTTTTTGGGTACTCACTGCATAGGCACGCATTTATAATGGAGATCAATGGCGCATTTGACGCAGAGCACGCCGAGTACGCATAACAATTTATTCCTAAATGTATGGTCTTTGCGTACACCATGTACACGCAGAACGCAGGCAGGAACCCACTTGGAAAACTGAGTACCATCTGTCTGTCTTTTGCCCCTTGGGGGTGCACGTCAACTCGGGGCGGATACGGACACCAGTAATTATTCCTTACAGTATAATATTAGCCATCAAAACACAAAATCATGAGAGAAAAATTCAATTTAGGATGGAAAAAAATGAGTCATTTAGACCTACGCAGAACATTGAATCAGAACTCATTTACTTAGAAAACAGAATATTTCAGACCAGTCTCATAGGGTTTGTGCATGGGGTATGAAGTGGCGTCCGTGTACTATGAAACTCTTTCCCTTTTTGGAAATTTTGAATTGTAAATTGTGAGAAAATTTGACTTTCTTGCTGATAGACCGAACAGATTTTCCAATCAGTCATGACAGTAAGGCACTTAAACCTGTAAACGTGCATGACAAGGCCGTATGTACATGTACGGTACATGTACAATGTACTGGGTCCTGGCCGATTGATCGTGATTTCTTTTGATCATGTTTATCTAGGAAGTCCGGGGATATGTGACCCACCATCCCAAAGCCAGGCTGAAGTACAGGTAGGTAACTTCAAAACCTATAATAATGGAACTTGCACTGTTCAGATTTTCACAGCTGTCACTACCCGTAAGAAGCTTTCTGCAGACAGAAATTTCGATTTTACAGGGATCCCTTTAAAATGTAAAAAAAAGCTTAAGGAGAGGAATTGTCCAACACCACAAATACCGACTTCAGCCTGGTTTTGGGATTGTGGGTCACATGTTATCAGACACCCACTGGATCTGATGAGCTGAAATTGCATCAGTATGTCGACTACTTACGCTACTAACTATCCCCCAGTTCTCTATTTCTAGAAAATACACCTTTTCCTCGTTTTGAGAAGAAAATGTTAACCGTTCGGCCCGAAAGAATTTTGGCTAGACTTGAACAAATGATGGCTGTTTTGTGTCATGTCACAGAGAGCAAGCCACGCTACATGCTCAAGAATTCGCCGCAAGGGGTATTTGACTGGACAGGGAAGTAGCCAATGGCATTGCGTATTAGCTGCGACACAAAACCTCCGTAATTTTCCACAACTACTTGGATCAACAGGTACTCTCATGGATCTGAAGGAAATCAGTATGTGCTGAAGTCTGGGGACAAACTACATGTAGACAGGCTCTCTGTACGGGCTACCATCACTTAAATATACAAAGGAGTCTGTGTAATGTCCAAGTCAGGCCAGAATTCGTCCGGAGTGGCATGAGTGGCGAAAAAACCAACTAAAGGCAACATTTTTTTCCTCCAAACGAGGAAAAGGTGAGTTTTGTGCAAATAGCAACCTGGGGGATACATGTAGTGAGCAACGCAAGTAGTGAACATCCGGTGCAATTTCAACTCACAAGGTCCAGCGGCTGCCTAATAACATCCCCAGACATCCTGGATAAACTTGATAGAAGGAAATCACTATCAATCGGGACAGGGCCCAGTATATGACAAAGGAGTACATGTACATGTAGGGCCCTGTTTACAGGTCTATAAGGCACTAGACCTACTCCATAGTACAAAGTATTAGGCCTGGTGCCTTACTGTCCAGGAAGTACTTGTAAATCAGCCATGCAAATTTGAATCCACCATGTGTCACGTGTCTCCTCATAATTTCCCTCAAAACTCAAAACCCTGCCCTCTTTTCACAACATCAGTCTTACAGTTATTGAGCATGATGTCATGGTCATACATGTCATAGTCATCTACATGTACCATACCAAGGTGAATCCAAAAGTTAGGTCTCCCCTCTCTTAAGGAACAGGGTCCCCACATGTACAGTTCCCTCCCTCTTACCATATTTGTCGGCTTATCTTCCTCCTTGCCCTATTGCTTATTCGCACTGAAAAGGTTTGTCAGTGACAGTGTTGACCCCCAGAACTGATGGATTTGTCGTCTGTCACGTTCCTCGCATCACATGTTTGTGGATGCGTGACGGACAGCAAACCTCACAGTTTCGGGGGGGGTGACATTATCAGTGTCAGTCATCAAGTTGACCTACAGCTTAGGCTGATACGGGTAACTGCCTGGTCACTCTACGCAGTCAGTCAATTCTGCATAAAATCTCCAACTTTACTTCTCCTTTTAGAAACAATCTTTCAAAACCAACAACAGCAAATAAGAAGAGGTGATTAGCTGATGGTGGGATTATCAACAAATCATGCAGTAAGATCTACTGATCATGCAGTAAGATCTACTGATCATGCAGTAAGATCTACTGATCATGCAAAGATCAAGCAATTACACACATCAACTGATCGCACCCAACACAGCCATGGACAGCCATGACAGTCCAAACTCAAAATGCCTTGCCTGGGTTGGACATCTTCATTACATTGCGACTGACATCCAGAATATCAATTCACCCTGCCATAGCAACTTTTTTCAGTACTTTTTTTTACAGTTTACCGATGGAGGTAGGCTGGGCTGAAATTTCATTCACAAATTTCTTATGTCTCGATTATCGTAACTCACATAAGTATGTAAATATATGCAAATAAAGTGTTGCAAAAAGGTTCGCTTTGATAGGATAACGTGATACCTTGGACATCAGTCGTAACACAATGAAGACTTGGCTTCCAACATGGGCTACAGAATGCCATGCGTCAATCATGCCAGTGATGCTTCCAAGCTTGCACATGGGCCTAGAACCACTTATGATGAAAACACAAACGCAGATATTTGACATGTACAAATAGTTTGATAATGTTATTTTAACTAGAATTGTCCGTTACGCCGTCATGACTGTACAAACAGCTCACTCATTTCCTGGTAATACTGCAATGACGGGCATACAGTGACATTCCTTTAACATGTACATACCATCACATTTAATTTCACACAGATCTAGATCATGATCGGTGATCAATCGTTGGTTTGTGGACACCAAAACCTGCCTAATGGATGGTGTGAACCAGCGTTAGGATCACTGATCACGATTCAGGTCCATGTGAAACAAACAGGCCCACTGTCTCTTCTGTTACCGCCTGCATCTAGAAATCTTGCATGCTGTTGGCTGTTGTTACAACTGCATGCATTGACATGGAGACCAGACTTCCAAGAGGCCTTGGAAAGTGTGTAGATGTGTGATATAGACCTTGGGGTCTGTGGTTAGAGAGGCACATAACATGTACACTGTACTAGGTTTAGAACAGGACATCACAATGTATTGGAGTGATTCATTCCTTTGTATATTCTGTGCAGAGTCGCATCCCGGGCGGGCGGACTTTCAGGCACAAATACTGTGCACCACAACGTCAAGGATGGAATCCCCAGGTACAGGAAGAATCTGACTGTGGGCATTGTAAAATAAATTAAGTGGTACCATGCAGATATGTCTATGCTGTGCTGAACATTAATTGGAGAGTTAATTCTTTATAGTTATACTACATGTACATGTACGTGCCACAACTTCCAACATTTCATAAAACATGAAAACATAAATATGCAAGGCAGTTAGATGGTGTTAAACCGACCAATTAAATGCATTGCACAAGGGAGTCGAAAAATGAAAACACCCAACCTCTACCTGTGTACCGTCCCCTTCTAGAAGTCAGGTTTGCCAAAACATGACGTTGAGAAAGTAAAGTTTAATATTTAGATTGAGTGTACATGTAGTTCACATCTACAGTCCAGTCTACCTCGGTGTTTTTACAAGTAGCCTTTTTTCTTTACTTTGGCAGCTATTTTTCGTGGATCAACAATTGTCACCACAGCTTTGATTCATAGCTCTTCCCCACCTGGATTCGTTGCTGACGAAAAGGTAATGCTGCATCAGAAAATGAGTAATAGCCACATCCATTTATTTCAAGGTGTATTTTGCGTTGGGGAGATGTTAATTTATACAACGGGTTTTGTGAATTTTTTTCACAAACTCTCGGACAAGCACTGAGCATACAGTCTTTATCAATATATACATTGGGTAAGGGCAAAACCCGTTATATAAATTTACATCCATTTATTTTTAGTACCTTTTAACAAAGATCATAGCACTTGAAGCTAACATTATTCACCCCTGCCTGTCGGGTCAATCAAATATCCGACAAATCTCCTCAGTGCCTTGGGGAGTATACAGCATGATGCTACTTTTAACACTGTGAATTCAAATCCAGTAGCCAGCTTAGTTGTCACATGACCCCTTTGTTATTTAAGCCAACTCAATGCCATCGTTGTTTTTTCAGGAGACATTTTTTGTCATTGTTGTATGGCAGCATCTGTATTCCAGCATTAGTTGCAAGATCAAAACAGTCTCACCGTGTTTTATAGTGCAGTTTCTCGTTGGGGCTGATTTCATGTCAGGTTTAAATATTTTCCCTTCAACTGAGTTTTGAGACACGTTCTACCTTTGTTTGTGCCTAGGATTTGTCGCCCAGCGGAGGCATCAAAGCTCACAATGGTTGCGTGGTGAGGGAAAAAGATCAGATCATTCTCTTGAAGAGAGTCTACACCTCGCCAAGTAGACGCTCCTCCAGAGTCCGTCGGAAAGGCTGTGTTGTCTTGCCCAGGTCAAAGGTCAAGCATAGGTACTCTGACCCTGTGGTGTATCCTCATGCAGCGATGCGGACTACCGCTGAATTCAACAGAAGTTACCCGATGTCTGCTGGCAACACACCAGTCAGAACTGGAAAACGAGATACCAGTGAAGACAGAAACCATCTGCCCACCACTCGCAAGGAGCCGTCGACCCCCAACATTCCAACCATCCCCATTAGTCCAGCCACACCTGGCCTGACCCCACATGGCTTAACGCTCTCTGATAATGTCACAGAGTCTGACTTCTTCACACCAGATGGAACTCCGAAGCGGCGGTTGGTGGTAAGGCTGTCCGAGACACCAGAAATAAGAAAGAAGCTCGCAGAAATTGGCACGCCACTATTCTCTCCACATGCAGAGTACAGCGACGACCTTTTGAAAGGAGAGGAGGCTCTTCCACATGTGAACCTTGCAAGTCGAAGTATACCACATACTGATCATTGTGAAGCTCGGACTAACATCTCACAACAGGTTGAGAATAATCATAATGCTGCAGACTTAACATTTGATGAGGAAAGAACACCTCTACAAACATGGCGTCCTGCTACAATCAGGGAAAGTCACCTGGAATGTGTCTTAGATTCAGCGGAAATACTTGAGGATGAGATGTCCGTCATTTCTACCTCCTCATCAAACACTCTCGACATCGTGTTTGATAATTACCAATCTGTCCTTAACAGTAGGGCCAGTAGCCCTCAGCCAGATACAGAATCAATCGGTAGCTGTGATGAACTCAAGGGCATCAGAGATCTTGGCGATGAAGTGATGTGTATTAGTCCCCTCCCATTTCAAACTCCAGACACCGCCCATGAGGATGGAGAGTCTGACGACCTTAATTTATATCCTCCAGAATTCTTGCCATCAGCATCAGATGAAGCACCAGATGATTTCGAGATTGTACAAAACTATTCGTCTACCATTGAGAGTCCCTCTTTCATCGGTGCTGGCAGTCCTGTGTCTTCGCAAAGTCCTTTACCCATCATGGATGGAGATCTTGGCAAAAGGAACCAACACGACACCAGCCCATCTTTGGTTTTACACCAGACACTACACAAAATGAACTGCACATCTCCAGTTAATGGCATAAGAGGCAGACAGGTACTACGTGTGTCATTATCACCCCAAACTTTTGGGCCCTACAACTGTTTTGACTTGAAGGCATCTGAAAAGTCAGACTTACAGGATGACGTCTGCATTGTGAACATCACTCCTAGTCACAAGGTGGATACCAACAAAGGGAAGGAACCTTCACCGACGTATGCAACACAGGCAAACTTTGAGTCTCCAGGTTCCCCAGGGAGTACATCTTTTGTAAGCACACATGCTGAGTCTGAGTATCACACACCACGTGCTTCGTCTTTGCAGTCTTTGCTCAAGAACAATTATTACTCTACATCGCCCGCCACAAGTGCATCCTCCAAAATCTTCTTGAACCAACAAGATGACTTTCAAGATTTTTCAGACTTTGACTTTGCAAGTGCCCAGGGTGCTCTCCTAACTCAGGCCTTCAGTCCTGTTGTAGTCACTGAGAAACTGTCTCAAACAAGCCTGGTAAATGTCTCAGCCAAGTCCTCAAGTGCCGAAAGCTGCTCACGGGTGAAAAGTCCCCTGTCACACTTTGGTGTGAATCCATCACTTGTCCAAAATTCATCTGTGCATCAGTCTTCTGCTTCCAAGAATGCAAAGCTGACCACCAAAGAGAAAGGAAAATGTAGAAATTGGACTGAAATGCTTGAAGACGACACTTCGTACCATGAAGAGTCCACCCAGGGTGGCATTGGCACCCGTTCTGAGGATTCATGTACTTCCACTCCCAATTTCCTCAGGGACGAGTGCTGTAAGCTGTCCAGGGGAAAAGAAACAGACAGGGCAGTGCAGCGGAGGAGTTCATTGAGAATTGCTAAGAGGATGTCACTGCTGACGCTGGAAGCTCAGTCAAAACAAAGTGATGGAGATGAAGATGATTCAATGCCAGTCTCAGAATCAGGACCTCCCAAAATGTCTAAGGCAGTGCAAAAGCAAAGTGAGAGTAGTGTCCACGGGAGGGAGACAGTTCCTAAGAGAAAGAGAGGTCGCCCTCCTCTAAATAAATCAAGAGTGAGATGCCAAACTTCTGGTGGACCTCATGTAGTTCTTGACAAGTGTGCTGTGAGAGTGGAGAATTCCTCCACCTTCTCAGGTTTAGATGAAGAAAGTGATGAGATGAGCTCTCAAGAGCCTGCATCAATCATCCCTTCTGAAGGGCAACTCCACTCTAGCACATACGGCACCATCACACAGGTGAATTCTAAAACGAAGCCAAAGGCAGGGAAAAGATCGAAGCAATTGAGACGTCGGTCTGCACGACTGAACCCCATCGTGCTGCCATTGAGCAGTAAAAGGCCAAGTGCTATCATATCTAATGCAACAAGTGTAAGCAAGCAAGCCCTTGCAGAGTCCAGGTTAGGCAACATTACTGAGCCTCCATCGTTGTCTAGTTGCTCTGAGTCTGTTTCTACAGAGGAGGACTTTCAGTACCAGTTTGGTGATCATTCAGATTCTTTACAAGCAGAGCGTAAGACCAAGAGACAGTACAAGCTACCAAGGCGACGATCAGCAAGACTCAATTCTGTTGGCTTACCAGTGACCAGGGAAAACCCCATTGTCATTTCATCAGAACCTATGACCTCCGAGTCTCATGACTTAGGCCCTGCCTCATCAAACTCGAAATCTGCTGCCCCGAAAGGTGTTTCAGGAGAAACCGCTCAAGATGTGGAAAGTTCCAATTGTTCCCTGGTTGAACCAGCTCGTGGAAGTGCAGACACTGAATTGATATCAATCTCTGAATACATCGCTCCATTCGGAGAAGGGAAGAAAAGGGGCAGCAGTAAAAGACGGAGACGATCAAGCCGCTTACTCAAGCTATCCTTGATGAGTCTAGATGAGGAACAGCCAGCATCAGACCAGACTTTGCCGGAGGAGACTAGTGTCTCATCCGGTCCTGAAAAGGGAAGCACAGACAGTGGACAAGACGGTCCCCTTTCAAGCAGTGATCAAGAGAGTTCTGTCCAAGAGAAGGAAAGAGAATGTACCTCCTCTCTTGACAAAAACCAAGAAACTAAAGTATTAAATAACATGTATTCTTGTGGTACAGCCTCGTCCGGTTCTCCTGGTGTAATGCTTGTTGATATTAATGCACATGCTGACTTAGCTGGGGATCCATTAGACGGATCAGACTTGTTGGAAAATGCCTCTGCAGTGTCTGCAGAGGGTGCCACTGCTGTGAGAAGACCACGACGAAGAAAATCTGTGCACAGCTATTCAGAGAAGACCAAGGAATCCAAACCCAAGAAGCAGAACGATAAGACAGATGAGGAGGCAGTGAAGGAACTGTACCTGAAGCGAGGCGAATGCAAGGTGCTCAAGCCCAGCAACCTAGAGACAATCTTTGAAGAGCTTCACTTTAATAAGAGAGGCAGTCCTCTCTACACAGCCTCCAGAAAGTGCAAAAGGGCTGTTCACTTTCCAGAGCACCCATGGCTGCCTCGGAAGAAGAAGAAAACAGCAAAGAACAGCAGTAGTCGGTCTAAGGGCAAGAAGAAAACATCGAAAGATCCTAACATTGATATGAAACTGGAAGCTTTATTAGCTGAATTGACACCTGCTTCAAGTCCTACCTCTGAGCTCCAGGCTGATAATGTAACTTTGCTGTGCTGTGGTGCGAGCCATGCAGACTTCAGCACTTCACAGAGTGTAAGTAACTGTCCAGCCAGTGCTTGGTCCGAAAATTCCTCCTCAGATTTGGCAGTCTCTAACATTCACATGAGCAATGTTGGGCTCCTCCTACAAACAGCGAAGCCGACCCCGAAGACAATCAGAAAAAATGGCGAAGTTGAATTAGAGGCGGATGAGCTTGTACTCCGAAAGCCAAACAGGGACACGCCATTTAAAGGGTCAGCTTCCTCTGGAAAGTATGGTGCGATGTTGAACAGACTTCTAAAGAACAATGTAGTCCGCCATGAGGAATCTCAAGTCGGTGAAGTTTGTGGTGAAGCCATGCAAGACTGAATCTCAATGATTTGCTGTATTTATATTAGTTGAAATGCCAATGGCTCTACGCATATGTTATCAAGATTGCTTTGCAGTCAAACAATGAGAACAAATTTCTGAGAGATTGTCCCATGCCAAATGTATCAAAAGATGATGCTGTTTCCACTAGTGTTCTCCATTTTTGCTACAGCCCTCCTCAAGTTATGTTCTCAATGCCTAACTTTGATTTTCAGCTCCTGTTTGTGGGGGTCTGAATAATACACACGTGCCGTTAGAGATGCCATAGAACTTAGGGCATCTGCAGTTAATTCTGTTTGTGTCACTCTTGACCGACCCTTATTTTGGGCTCCAACTGAGAAATAAATACTCTTTATGCTGCCAACCCTGTCTGGAAATTTCTACCAAAAAAAAAGAGAGAGAAAGATTACAAACTTAACCATTTTGTGCCGGGGGACCCAGTATCGGGTACCTTATGTTTGTACGCATAGCTGGGAGCCCGAAATCGGACAAAGCAGCCAGGTCTTGTAACAACAGACCGCACTCCGAACAAAAGACTGAGCTGCTGGCACTTGAAGATTATTTTATTTATCAGTAGCGGAGGTAATTTATCCTTTTTTGAAACACTGTACAACTTTTTGTGGCACTCAATGCGCAGGATTACAACCACGGACGAAAGCTCTCCAGTGCTGCAGTGATTAGTAACGCAATACTGCTGCACGTTAATCTTGCCCCATTGAAAAGAGGTCAGCAGCAAACTGCTGAAGGTTCAAAAACAAAAAAAATGCAACACCACACAATCTGGGCTCTCTTTACAAGGCAGCAGGCCTGGCTGAAATACACCGGAGTCAGTAGATGTTGCCTGTTTAATTCGAGTAGCCACCAGGCAGTCATTTGTGTGGGTGTAAACGTCCAGTAAATGAAGTAATGAATTTTTGAAGAATTTTGCAAATGGAAAATCATTAAAAATGCTTGTATTTGTGCACGGCCATTTTAATTGAACCCGGCAGCAAGTGGTTAAGAATATCAGGGAACAAGCAAGAAATTTCACCCCCAACTGACCACCCCTCCTTCAAGGCAAAACCATGAGAAGCATAAAATTAACTACAGGTGCTCTTATGTGATGGCTGATAGTATACATTGCATTATTTGAGCACAATGTGACCTGGAAATCAATGAATAGCCATTTTATGCTGTGCCCGCACTGCTAGACTGTGCCAGGCAAGAACACAAAGTCTATGGGAAGTTGCTGCATCCACGAATCAGTGACTTACCGTTGCTATGCATGTTCTCTCTAGCCGTATCCATGTCATTTGGACTCAGCCTTTTAACCATATCAATTAGGATGTGTTCTTACTTGATGATATTAGGGATGAAGTTGTATAATTTTTTCACAGATAATAGCTATTTTTTGACCTATTTATTAACCACAAAAAGTTGAAAAAAAGTTTTCCAGATTTGAGTTCAGTTTGACTCTTTTCAAAGTGATTCAGTGTTTTATGTTTGGAAGAGGCCTAGCTTTTCAAAGATGCTATGATTCAAACATGACTGTGTAAGTGGGAAGTCAAAGATATTGTCCGTGTTTTTTTTTCCAATTCAGAGTTGTATTCAAGAAAGAATTGCATGTTCAGCAGGCCCAGCTTTTCAGTGGATACTGTGACCAGTTTTCAGATGTGCATGTATTTTGCTGTTCTTTTATTTGGTTTCTTCTCAGCAACTGTTACATCTTGTAGGGCAAGGCCTGTGGGTCAGTGAATTTGAGCCTGTGGCAGGTTACTCATGCTAGAATACACACCAAAGATTTGGCTGTATATCTGTTTCAAATTCATTTACAATTGAAGAGAAAGGTCTGATGGAATTGAAATGTGAAGCCAAACATTCACTCATGCTTTCAAAACCGACATTACAATACATATAACACTATATTTTTCTCTAAATTTAATGTACAGTCTAAAGGTAAACAAACTGATTACACCTGTGTATTAATAATAATTTCACATTTCGGTTACAAAAATGTAGTCCTGTTTGAGTTGTAAATTATAAAAAAATATCTATTTATAGATTGATATCAAAGATACGAGAGAGTTGATTGTTCATTGTTTACAGCCCAATAGTGTACATACATGAGGGAGAGTGGTGTTGCTTTATCATTGGGCAAATGGGATCCAAACATTGGGGGCAGTGTCTCTTGAAAACCTTGCCACAAAGTTACCAGAACTAATGAAGGGGGAACATTGTCCAGGTATAATGCCTTTGTCCTTAAGTCTTTGTCCAACCAACTTTGTTCATGTTTTGTGACCCTGCAAGTTTATGCAAGATGTGTGAACATACAGAATGTAAATCGCGCAAAATGTGTGCTTCTTAAATTCAACTTGTACAAATAAACAGAGTACATATTTACTTGTATATGGTGCTTGTTGGTGAGATTAATGTCTCAAACTGTTGCTAGGAATCTGTGGTGAACAATAATTAGACTCGAATTGGCCCACCCACTCCTTATGCATTTGCTGCTCATCATCACTTCCTGAAGTGTTTCCCAATTCGTGGGAGAAATCATATTCTGAACCCAGAATTTTAAAATGGAATGGACTTGGCTGGCCCCGCAATTTTTCTTCCATTGTCAATGTGTTTTCCACTTTTTCAGTGGTTTTTTCGCATAATGGTCTCATCTTGTCCCCGCCCCTTTAACTTTCAAATATAGGTCTAGCGCCCCCACTTCCAGAGTTTTCAATATGGCGGCGCCCAAGAGAAGTCTCATGCTTGTTTTGGCGAAGCTTTCTATCCCACAGAATACATGTCTGCGTCAATCTATTCCCATGTCGCCGAATAGGAGCTTTGCAGTCACATCGGTCGACATGATTAGAGGATTCCGAGGATCTGATATCAAAGCTGGGCCAAAAAATCGGAAGTCAAACCAGCGCAACGCAATTGACACGATTGAACACGTTGAATTAAGCGAGGACGTGGACGGCAACCTTCGAAACACCTCTGTGAGGAATTTGCCGAAGCAGAGCCCAATGAAAAGTTCTGTTGCTGCTGAAGGCGATGTTTCAAAATTAAACTACGAGAAGGCTGGAGTAGATGACAAACGAATTGGGTAAGAACCTACTAGGCCTAGGATTTTCTAACTTTAACTGACATTAATTGACAATGACTGAGTTTTACAACATGTAGTTAAGTAGTTTGATTCAGGCCTACCAATTACCATGCCTACATGTTTTTCCATGTGATTTCACCTTTTTTCTTACTTTCCCCTCTGTCACCCTGGTCATCAATGCCTACCTAGCCCTTTTTAAAATGAATTTGTAGTCATTGTGTTCTCTCTTGCCACGTGCCATGCTAAAATGATGCTTGCACTGGTCACTTGGGTTGATTTGCATATGACTGATATTTTGGGGAAGGGGTGTTCCTATCTCCTCTCACTTATAAATTGTTCCTGTTTAACTATCTACAGGCGCCTTATGATGCTTGCCAAGTCACGTAAGCTGCGTGACCAAAAAGGAAGAGTGATGCTAGAAGGGAGACGACTCATAACCGATGCTATTGAATCGGGGCTCCAAGCACACACAATATTCTTCAGTCGGCTGGAGAACTTACAAGGCATACCAGTCAACAAGACCCGAGCAACTCTGGTTAAAGTTCCCTTCAAGGATATCACCATGTGGTCTGATGTGGTGACCACACAAGGAGTTATTGGTGAGTGTGACCAGAGGAAATGTCTCCCATCACCTTAAATGGTTCATGGTTCAAGCTAATGTGTATAAAATGTAATGGGTTAGTGGGTTATTGAACAGGAACCCATCGTAATGAGCCAGTTCAATATTCCAACAGGGCATGCCCAAAGTAAAGTGCATCCAAGGTCTGCTCTATCAGCATGGTTCTGTGTGGTTTTCGTTTGGCGTGTGTGTTTTGTTTCCGAATCAGACCTTCCTTGTTTTGAAATATTGAAGTGGCTCATTGATGGTCCTACACCTATGGTTATGCATAAATAGATCGGGGGGGGGGCTTCAGCTGTGCACTAAATGGAACTACCATCGATATGATGAAAAATAAGTACCAAAAAAAAATCCTGCACGAAAATTGCGCCGTCCATCTGTTCATCTATAGTTAAACAATTACATTGATTTCCAGTGGATCAACGATGAGGCTGAACCTGTGAGCGCAAGTGGTCTCTCAGCAACAGTGAATACAATAGTTTCGCCCATCAACCCCCCCATTTCCTGAAAGCTAGGTCTGCCCCTGTTATGTACCATTAATTTGGCCTCACCCAGAAGAGAGATTTCTCACATTTGTCTCCTTCACACAGGTGTTTTTCAGAAGCCAACCTTCACTAGTATGCACCAGTCAGAGTCATTGATCCTTCCCTTGACTTTGATCTGTGACAACATCAGGGAACCTGGAAACTTAGGCACAATTCTTCGTTCAGCCGTGGCAGCCCAGTGCGAGAAAATTCTCCTGACCAAAGGTTTGTTTAAATAAAAAGTTCCCCGCAAGAAAAGTTGCATTTCAAGTCTCTGGGAGTTCTCTTTGTCCATCATTGTTTATTTTTTTGCTTTTGTCTCTTTATACCAAAGGAATAAAACTTAGCATCCCGAATTCTCATTCATAAATAATATGTTGGAAACATTTCTGACAATTTCACTGTTCATGCCACTATTACACATGTCCAGTTCACTTGATCATGTCCACTTGAAATATACACTGCTCATAAAGTTAAGGAGCACTTCTTAATTTGTGTATACTTTTTTATACGAGATATTTTACCACTAAATATGTGCATTTGGTGTATTGAAACAATCTCAACATTTTTTATTCCAATGAGAACACCAGCTAGACAAACAAAAAATGAAAGAACTAGACCCCACTCATTGCTTGAAAAAAAATTACAAGTTAAGAAAAAATGGTCCTTAAGTTTTTTGGGTAGTGTACTTTTTAAAAGTCCTTTGACATCTGACCTTTTACCTCAATAGGATGTGTTGACCTCTGGGAGCCCAAGGTGCTGCGTTCGGGAGCAGGAGCCCATTTCTGCGTGCCAATCATTGCAAACATTCCATGGAAGGAGATGCCAAATTATGTGGATGAAAATGTCACCATCCATGTTGCAGAAAATAACGTTTCTGTCGAGGAGCTTCCAGAGAGTAACACACCAAGAAGGTTCCATTATCCAGGGAAACCTCATGGACATGAACAAGAAGAATGGAATCAAGATCTCAGCGATGACGCTGATCTTTCTGATCAAGTTTTGGAATCCAGAATCTATCATGAGGTAGACTGGAGAGTCAGATCGGCATTGGTCATTGGTGGAGAAACCGAGGGTTTGAGTGACCGCGCACTGGAAATGTGTGACAGGTCATCAGGTTATCGAGTACACATACCCATGCCTGGGTTAATGGAGAGCCTCAACTCGGCCATTTCTGCTAGCGTCATAATTTTTGAGGCTCTGAGACAAAATATGACATTAGAAAAATCCTGACAATATACCAGACAACTTTAAACCACGGAGGTTGTCAGAAGAGTACTTTCCTGATACTAAAATGTGTCCATCCAAAACTACTCATTCAGTCACTGGTAACAACATACATATAGGCAGGTTGTAGAAATTCAATAATGCAGCATTTATACAATAATTAAATTTAGCCCTTCAGATTTTTCCAATATATATGAAGTAACCCATTGGTAATTTAAATTTTTCCTTTTAAAGGGAAGTCATATTTTTGCTTAAGTTACATGACTCTTTCATGAATGTAATAAAGTATTTGTTTTGATTATTATCAAAACCCCCATTTGATTTTAGTCTTAAACTGTTTCTTTTTTATATCAAACATGTTTCAGATTGTCCATGTCCATATTTTTAAATAGAAGCTGGTTTACTGTTATAAAAATGTCATTGCAGTTCGTTTCATTGTTCAGTTTTATTTCTATTCAGTTTCTATCATGATTTAGTCGATATCAAAAGCCATCGGATTGGTTCAATCATGCGTGCATGTGAAACTTGAAAAGGGGTCGCTCCTGTCTGCTTGATTGCATTTTTACTTTGCTGTGTCCGACGGTTGATGCATGCCACGGCCAGCACTCTTGCAGACGACAGAATTTCAACCTTATTTATATTGTAAAGGGCCGCTTCTGTTGATTCCTTGCACATGCGTATTTAATAATTCATGATAGTTTCTTTTGCTCTGCCGGAATTCGAGGGAGGATCAATCTTGGATCACTTGGCCCGTAAGTGTTGGCTTTTATCCGTATCTGTGCATTTATTGTAGAAGTTGAAGGCACAGAAATGGAGGAGATTCGATTTTTTTGTGCAAAGTGTCGGTTGATGCTGAAATTATTGTGGGAAAAAATGTATTTTGCTTCGTCAGAAGTTGTCACAGCTCATTATTTTGCGAAATGCGAGTGTCTACGTGCTTGAATGCGGGTATCCAGGACCCGCAGGGCAAGGCACATCAGAAGTGCAAAGGTCATCATGAATGCTGCCGGTTACATACGGCTTGCTCCATTTTCTCTTATTTTCTCGTTTATTTGAAAGGGCTGCAATACTCCGAATTTTCTACCAATTGGATATGCTTGAAATTGCATCATAGCCAGTTTTAAATCAAGATACAATTTTTGTAGCTTGCTATTTGTATTTCAACAGTGTGCATGACAATTTACGTGCTAAAGTCCAAACTGTAAATTTCGGCCGGAACTTTAGGCTGAGCGTAGTCGGAGCATGGAGGAACTTGGACCCAAAAGATTACCTTTTTTAACATTTTGGATATAGTCGGGCAATGGTAGGGTCCAAGTACCTTCCATAGGCTTTTGCCTCCATTAATTCATTTCACTTAAAATAGCTCGTATCCCGAATCAAAATCCTCTAAATTCACCTCCCAAATGGCTCCAAAATGGTCCTTAATTAAACTGTCTAATGCGCCCAGCTGAGGATCAAGTGATAATTGGAAGTTCCAATAATGATAATATGGTTTACTCATTTATGGAAAGAAAAGAGAAAATTTTCCTTCAAATCGGAAACGCTCACTGACGAGTTCAAAGACGCTATCTTTCCTCAAATAGTATTTTGAACTATATGTTGACGTCCTGTTGACAACGTCACGGTGCACCGGGCTAGCGGACCATTCAGAGAAATCATGCTGCGTTGGCACACGAGCACCAATGACTGTTTCCTGAGCACCGTAATGTTCAGTGAACAGTTTTGATTTGGTCACAGCCACCAAACTATAGGCTGAGCCTATAATTTATGCTGTACACCCTTTAAACCAGTCATTCTCACAGTCGGACACCCAGGAACTTCTGTACATTATTGAGTAGCATGAAGGGTAAATTTGCGGCATATTGAAAGTCCATAGTGACATCATGCCGACCGTAAGAATGCCAGTGTTCCATTAACAGGTTAATCTGTTGTAAAGAGCCAGAGTTAAGGCTAAAGTCATTGCTTTTTTGTTACATGGTTATATTTTCAGAGAAATTCTCTGGAAACAACTGTTGCTTTTACTTCAAATATTATTTCAGAAAAAAATTTAATAGGTTTTTCTTTTATTTAAAACTTCACTCTCCAGAGTGTAACTAACGTAACTAATGAGAATTTAGAATACATTAATAAATCCCTGTCATCTGATTGGTGGATCATTGATCACATTATTGAATTTGTTCTGTGCAGTAATACCCATTGAATAGAACTTCACTTGACTGGTTCCATCTCCATTTTATATACATTGTATCTCATTCCCAGTAAGAAAGGAAATATGCAGACAGAAACCAGTCTCACATTACACGGACACGTTACTACTGGTGTAGTAGGTGTGGCAGTTTGAAAGTTAGCCATTGGTGTGTTTGATCATAACATAACATGAGGACAACAAAAACCCCTCAAGTAGCATATTGGCTGGACCGTGTACCATATAAGGCATGGGAAATAATGGAGTACGGTCCTGGTTGGAAAGGTTGAAAAACCGAGGAATATCCTGAAATTTTTTTTTTTCAATTTGTCACTTTCAATTATTGTTGAAATTTGTACAGTGACTATAAAAGGCATTGCCTAAATGCCTATGAGCTCGGATACAGGTAAATAAGTAGGGTACGTGTCATCCAATCTTTTTTTTGAGTCCTAACAATCCTTGACTGTGCCAGTCAAGCTCTGTGGTCTGTTTAAGTTATCTTTTGTATCTGCTGGAACTGAATAGCATTACCCTATGTCTGAAGGTAAAGTGAGGGATTTTGACAGTATCAATGATGGTTTCAGTTGTCTGAATAAATATACTAAGAGTTCAATCTGTCAGTCACCATCCTTGCTCAGCAGCAGCATTTACAAACTTTGGCTGTAATCCTGAACATTTGGTGAGAATAAAATTATATTCAACAAGGCGAAAAGAGGTGGCCACAAAATGTGCATTTACATGTATCAACAAGTTCCGCTGATACGTGTATTTAAAATTTTTCAGCAATAATGACACCTCAAAATTTTGAATTGATTGAGAATGGACCAATTTGGCATTTGGGGCATTATTAATAAAACTTTAAATGCTAATCTTGACACATTGGTACTTTTTGTGTAGATGACTATTCTTTAATTCAGCTGTGTTTGATAAATATGATCCCATTCCAGCTTTTTGTCTTGTGCCATGTAAGGTTAAAATCCCTTTTTTGTTGACCGATTTCAAGGTATGTAATAAGATAGCATTTTCACTCGTTGAATCAGTTCACATGTTTAACAGAAGCTTGTACATCTAATTTATCTCTAATTTTGACATTTCATTCCTAAGATCCAACTGTTGCACTCGTTGGACCATTTCTCAGGGTCTTAGAATTCAGTCAACTTTGTCACACATTCAGTTTTAGCATTATGCATAACCTACATGTATAGCAAAATTCCGTTTCCTTTTCACTAAACCTTGTGTGTGCTTTGTGGCCTAGACACAGGACCGCTTGCCTGTCTGTGATGATTTGTATTATATTAGTTATTACACCTTTTGATCAGCGGTATCCCAGCTCCATGTCTGTGGATGTGTGCACCTTATACATGCACCTGCACCTACGTGTATTACAGTATAGGATATGACCCGATGTGTGACTGATACTGTGATACTTAGCATCATGCAATGATATGGAGCGATATGGATGCCACGCATAGCAAGGAAGTCAAATACAGTATTTTCATGTATGTATGTAACCTTTTTAATTAAGATAGTGAGGCACCGCTACACTCGACTTAATAAGGAAATTTGTGAATTTAAAGATTCCCCTGACATTTGTCCATTGACATGTATGCTCCATATTTTTCATGATAATGTGTACAAAGCCCTTTATTGCTTCAGTGTTATTTTGCGTGCATTTTCTCTTTAAACTTTTTTTTTTCCATCTGTAAAATGAAGCTCCAACAATCCCGGGGTTGTTCAAATCCAACATGCATACTTGCCGTCTAAATATATGATTGGTTCTTTTCTCTTTTCCTATTAATCTAATGATTAGATTAATGTTTTCAATTGTCTGTACATGTATATTAGACAATATGATGCAATGACATGAACGCAGCAGATGTGATCTGGTAGTGTCGCATCTTGCCACATCACTCTGTCCACCTGTCCCAAGGATCGGCAAAAACAAATTTGGACACGCAGTTTTTGTTTGTTCAAAATTATTATTATTTTTTTTTACATGCTCAACACTTGTGAATACCGGTTGATCTTCACATTTCTCTCCAAAAGACTGGGTGCAGTGGAAATGTGGCCTACATAGCACCAACTAATGTCAGTGTACAATTTTGTCCCAGGAGAGGGGCGCATCTTTGATTCCTGGATGGAACCTTGGTTAATGGTCTTCAAATGTTACACAGTGTGTGTATGTGGCCATGTCGGTTATTATTTTCATTCCGTGTTTGTTTTGTGGAGTCATATCTACGCCTAGTTCACAGCTGTTGCAGACTGACTTACAACATGTACAATATATGGCAAAGTTCTCCTAAGAGGTATTATTCGTGGACTATGGTCTCATTTGTAAATTTCATATTGAATGCATGTACCATGAAATTATTAACCAATCAGTGTGAACAAAATGGAATAAGAACAATCCTGGATGGTTTCTCTTTATAAATTGTTACATACTGTGCGTGTATGTGTACACAAGGCGCTGTGTCGCCAAATTACTGTGCTGCTCGGGTACATGTGGTGTACATGTCAGTGAAGGGCAGTAAATAGCATCCCTTATGCCAGTACATAATGTGAAGATAGGTAATGTCCACGTGTGCTGTACATGTTCATGCACTCACTGCATGCTGCAATATCCATGTTAGGGCCGAGTCCCAGAAGAAGGTCAAGTTATGCACTGCCTTAAAGAGACTGCATGGACCTCGAAAAATCACCACAGAAAAATGTGTGTACAGTTCTAAATATTAAGAATAGTAGTAAATAAATGTTGTCATTTTATCACGTAGTGATTGTGATGTATACTCCTTGGGTTTATTGGCTGTGCTGATAATAGATCTGTGTTCAGTTTTCAGATTTTTTAGAATGGCCAAACCCTTAAGATTGATTAATTTCTCCCAATTCCTATGCGGTCTAAATTCTCCCCAATTCTTCTTAATTTGCCATACTATCCTGGACTACAGAACTGTCACAGTTGGCCCAGTCTCTTTGAAATGAAATTTTTCATGGGGTGGGATTTCATAGTGGGGAGAGCATTTCACTGCATAGTGTTTGAAGTTTGCAGATTCAGGAATTCTTCTGACTGAATAGCAATAAAGGTCTTTGTCTCTCGGTCTTTTCAAACTGGGAACCATTATGCTAAGCTACCTGACTACTATTGTGCTGTGACCTTGCTCCATTCCAGGTAGAACAGCTTATCACAAACTATCTTCCTGTTTGTTGAAGCGCAGTTGTTGGTTTTAGAATATGACCTTTTCCCACCCACAATTCTCTCACATAGTGACTCTGCAATATACCACAATCCACTCCTTTCTCAAACAAACTGTATCATTGGCCAAGCCTGTTGCTGTTTACTGCACAAAGGTGGCTCAAAGTAAGCGTCCATGTGATTGGCTACTTTCCAGAGGCGTGGCAGGGTTTGGGTCAGGAAATCATGGATATTCATAAGGACCCTACACAGCTGAGCATCAGCATAAAACCTACCATTCATTTTTTCTGTACATGCACAATACATGCAGAGTATAAAAACTTTACTGCAGACGTGGCATAGCCATCCTTGGTGGTATTGTGTAGTGAGGGCAAGGCTTTTTAACTAGCACAAGTCATAGTGTGTAACAGGAAATCCATACGGTATTCAGTTTTTTTCTGTGAGGTGAGTCTTCGACTTGTATCTCATACATGTACTTCCTTGTATAAAGTTTTATTTAATACATATATGTACTCTGTACATTTTGGTTACCTGTGCTGCAGTGTTTTGGGGGATTTATAGTACACTGCTTAGTCAGGTGTCAGATTTGCTGCAGTGTTTTGGGGGATTTATAGTACACCACCTAGTCAAGTGTCAGATTTTGCTGCAGTATTTTGGGGAATTTATAGTACACTGCTTAGTCAGGTGTCAGATTTGCTGCAGTGTTTTGGGGGATTTATAGTACACCACCCAGTCAAGTGTCAGATTTTGCTGCAGTATTTTGGGGAATTTATAGTACATCCCGTAATCAGGTGTCAGACTTTACTGCAGTATTTTAAGGGACTTATAGTACTCCACCTTGTCAGGTGTCGGATTTTTTGGTCTACTTATCCGTTTACTGAAACATTGAAAAGAAATATTTACAAGTACAGGTAGTTGTTGGTTGTCAAAAGACAATTCAACAAATTTACACCTGAAGAAATGTGTCATGCTGGAGGAAAATATATGCATGTACCAAAACGTTTGATTCTCGCAGACCCATGTAAACTACAAATCTGCATAAAAATGAGATAAGATGACAAATGAAAGTACCGAGTCATCGTAAATTGCAGAGTCATTACTGTCACACAGTGACTGGTCCTCTCTTGATATCTGACAGCATCACAATTTTTGTCCAGTAGGCTTTAGTCTGAGGAAGTGTTCAGGGTTTAACGATGCTGGTACCTTCATCTGTATACAGTCAGTCTTTCGTAGTTCAGCTTCCGGTTATTTCTCTCCACTTCCTACAAGAACTAACCAGCATATGTTTTTTGCCTTTGATTCTTATCATAAAATGTACATACATGTACAAGTACAGTCAAACCTCGTTAATAAGAGGCCCTTCGGACTTGGCATATTACCTTGTTATAACAGGAACCTTGTATTATCAGGAATGAAAACAATGATAAACAAAGGATTGGGAACTAAAATTTTCCTTGTTATAAACAGACTCTTGTATTAACAGTGCTCTTATTAACGAGGTTCGACTGTACTTGCATACATGGACGTCATTTATGGATGCTCTTAACTTCCTTGGTACATGGACTGTCCGACTTTCTCAGATACTGTAGAGACAGACTGGCAGTACATGAGAACACTTTTTACCTGATTAGTTTAAATACATTTAAAAAAGAAAAGGGGCTGTGTATGTGAGTGCCACATTTCCCATCAACACGTGGTTGAGATCTTTGTCACTGGGACTTGTCAGAGGCCAGATTGGCCAGGGTGCATCACGGTCAGTGCAATGTCAGAAGCAACAGGTACAGGTGCCAGACCCACAGGTGCAGTGTCATGAAGTGGCTGAGAAAATAACATTGCTAAGTAGATGTTTGTGCTTAGCAGAAAACCAGCTGGTATTTTATGGTATGGTATTGTGGCTCGAAACCAATGTTTGCTATGTACATGTATGTGCTCAGTAGTTCTTCTGAAATTGCTCATGATCTCTGTCTTTACTCACAGGCTCCTTTCATCAAATCCTCTCCCGCAGATTTCTTTGTCATCTTGAAAGCAAGACCAGTCTCATCCGATCAAAATGGCACCGTACCTGACCCCTGAGCTGAAGAGAGAACTGGTGGAGACAGCCAACAAGATCATTGCCCCAGGAAAGGGCATCTTGGCAGCCGATGAGAGTACAGGTGAGTCCGTTTTACCCCCATCAGAAACTGTGGATGGCCATGGGTCACTTACCAAGGACAGCTAAATGACGATGCCCCTCCCCCGCACCTTTTCAGATCTCAGACCCTGTCAGGGCTTCATTTTTAGCACCATATTCTGTTTGAGACATTTACTGTGGCAGCCAAATGATAACCTTTCAAACTTTAGATATCAAGTGCTTCTCTGGAAGAACAGGGAGTTGTATTGAGCTCCCATTCTGGTACTAAACTTGTAAAATTGGGGCTTGAAATCCAAGATAAATGCCAAGTCGAGACTTGTAAACCAGCGCAGTGTGAGTCCAGTAGTACAGTGCACATGTAACCAATAGACTCCTTCCAGCTGGTCCTAGGTAATGGTCCCTTTAACAAGAAACCATTGAAAAAGCATGAAGTGCAATCTCCAAAATGAGTGTAGCCAGACTCACGCAGTTTAAAGGCAGTCTGGGTGCAGAGGGATGGTATCTCTTCAGCCTGTTTCATTATTGTGCCATTTTACCACCAATATTTTATGTGCAGTTAGGCGCAAACTCCATACCTTTCATTATCAGGAACCATGGGCAAGCGCCTGGCCAACATCGGTGTGGAGAACACGGAAGAGAATCGCCGTCTGTACCGTCAGCTTCTGTTCACTACGGACCCTGCCATCGGTAACAACATCAGCGGGGTGATCCTGTTCCATGAGACCCTCTACCAGAAGGCAGATGATGGAACACCCTTTGTTGAGCTCATCAAGCAGAGGGGCATTGTTCCTGGCATCAAGGTTGGTCTTTTCATGCTGTTTTTGATTTTAGCATCCAGAATTTTTGGCTTGAAGTTTGATTAAGCTGTACCTCTATATAGTCTTTTAATTAATAGAATTACAGATTTTTATTGTAATCATATCGTAATTATTGGAGTATTGTTTGCACGAGCGATCTGCAGAAAGGTGAAACTGGAAGTTACCCTGTGAAAAATAATTATTAATAATGTGGCAAAAAAAAACTAAATCAGTAACAAAGTACTTGTTAGTCTTGTTTGAGATGTAGTCATGTTTGTGGTTGAGGGAAGCCTTTTGGATTTTGCTGAAGGTTGCTTCCACAAAACAGGCAAAGAGAGTCCTGACTTTAGAGGAAAGTTCTTGTTAAATCTCAAAAAACTTAATTATGGGCTTAGTCACATTTATACCAAATTCAGTGTCCTTGATTGCACGCAGATGTTGACCCATTGTTAACCTGTTTCCAAATTCCTAAGGTTGACAAGGGCGTGGTGCCCCTGGCTGGATTCAACGGGGGCGAGTGCACCACCCAAGGCTTGGATGATTTGGGCACACGCTGTGCCCAGTACTATAAGGATGGGGCCCGCTTTGCTAAATGGCGTTGTGTACTGAAGATCACCGACCTGACCCCATCGGATGTAGCCATGAGGGAGAACGCTAACGTCCTGGCTCGCTACGCAAGCATCTGTCAGCAGGTACGATGAACAGTTTCAACCTTGAACTCATTTTCTCTTTACCCAAACCCTCCAGGAACCAGTAAGTAAGGTAGAATGAGAGGTAGACCCTCATGTGAGTGGCTGTGGCCTGCGATTGTCTCTCTTCCTGATCTTTTTGTTCTCACCTTGCAGAATGGTCTGGTGCCCATCGTGGAACCCGAGGTCCTCTCTGATGGTTCACACGACTTGGCCAGATGTCAGTTTGTCACAGAGAAGGTCAGTTTCTCCTTGTCTGGCATCCGTACTTCAACAACTCCAAACAAATGGTGTTTGGAGCTTTTGAACATCTACCAACTGACAGAATTCATTTTGCAGCCTGTCTCCTTTGCTTTGATATCAGGCTGTATCAGATTTTCTTGGCCACGGCAGGCAATATTACAGAACTCTATAGGAAATGGCTGACTAACTACAGGCTAGCGGCTTGCATAGTCTAACATATTGTTTCTAGCCACATCCAGATCATTTGTATCATCTCATGGGTCTCTTTACCTGTTCGTTAATGGTTCTTCTCTTAGGTACTGTCCCACACCTACAAGGCTCTGATTGATAATCACGTCTTCTTGGAGGGCACTTTACTCAAGCCCAACATGGTGATGGCAGGGCAGAGCTGCCTCACCAAGTACACTCCAGAACAAGTGGGCCAGGCCACGGTGATCACTCTGCAGAGGACTGTACCCCCAGCCATGCCAGGTGACTAGGCTCAGTCATTTGTAGGTCACAGGTCACGTGTCAGGTCATAGGTCGTGGTTTAATATATTACGGTAAAAGAAGGATTAGTGGAAATGACTTTTTGAGGAAGAAGTTTTGATTTTAAGTGGAGCTGTAATCGAGTCAAGTCAGGTTGCAAGTAGTGTAAGAGGAACAGTGATAAACCAATGCATTTGTTGCAGTTCATTTGAGTCGCTTGTCACTTGCCCTGTCAAGGTTCATGGGGTGAAGTCATACCAGAATCACAAGATGTTTCTTTTCCCACAATGTAGGCGTGTGCTTCCTGTCTGGTGGCCAGTCAGAGGAGGAGGCGTCATGCAACTTGAACGCCATCAATGCTTACCCCGGCAAGAAGCCTTGGGCACTGACCTTCTCCTACGGCCGAGCTCTGCAAGCTAGCGTGCTCAAGGCTTGGGGAGGCAAGGCGGAGAATGTCAAGGCAGGACAGGACGAACTGCTCAAGCGTGCACAAGTGAGGCCTAGAACTTGTAGTGTGTCCTTGATTCGCAAGATTTCTTGGGCAAAGACATGTCTGATTTTGTGGACCACAACTGAACAGACTTGAATTGTCCGTACTTAATCTTTTGCCTGAGAGCTCCCATAGAATGTGTATGATTTAACTCCCTCACTCAGCTGTGGGCTCCATAACAAGTATATATGCCCCCTTCCCTACTTTTTGACCTAGGGGATTACCAATGTAATAATCACCCCTCGCCTCTAATTGAAGTGGGACCTTGGACCATGTGCTGTGTCACGCTCTCCTCAAGAATGACCTTTCAGAAATCATCCTTTCCACATGTGACAAGAAATGTCTGCCCATGGTAGACACAAACTCAACCCCACTCACCCTCCCTACCAACGCCCCTCGATGATTGGAGTCCATCTCAAGTACCCTCCAGCTGATATATAGAAATAAGCGTTGCCAAGAGGGCAAAATTTACACCCATGGATTCAAACCCATGACCTTTTGGTGACAAGTCGTACTTTGTTTTACACAATCTCTAAGGCTTGTTAAATTTGATTTCAATCAATACATAAATTGCCATATATAGCTTACTGGTTCACTTCTGGTAAATTCTGACACACCCTGTTGTTATCTATTACAAAGCGAATCTATTTCAAATCAAGAGGTTTTTCTCATTGACAATTTGAAGTCAGCCCTGGTGGGGTGTTAACCAGGGCCACTCCTGAAATAAGAGGCAATTAATCTGTGCCCGTCTGACTCCATTAATGGATGTTTTCTTCTGCAGGCTAATGGCTTAGCTGCACAGGGAAAATATGGAGGCGGAGCCACTGGGGCTGCAGGAGGGCAGTCTCTGTTTGTAGCTGACCACCAATACTAAACAGCGCCCTCTTGTGGTTAGGTTCAGAAGACAACCATCATCACAACAGGTGAAACACATCATGCTAAACGGTGCATTTCTGCTCAAATATATCTCTAAAGCCCAGTCAAGGCGTGAGAATTTCAACTCATTTCACACCATGTACATGTAACATGCAGGGTTCCAGTTGACTGAGAAAAATGCGCTGCTTCTATTTGAAGTGCACTCTTTAGCGTTATCTTGCCTCCAATTACTAATGAGTGTCCTAATCCTTGCTTTGAGTAATAAAGAATAATAATATGGTAAGTACCTGTCAAGTTGTGCACGTCCTGTGATCAATATAGTAATATAGGATGAGCGTGAAATAACTCTCTTGTGTTGTGAACTCAAAGTGGATTGGAATAGCAGCCCTGAGATAGCCTCATATAAAGGTTGGTAAAATAGCCCCCTCTTGTGGTAAGTTTGCTGATGTGCAGAAAACTGAACTTTAGATTACGGTTGTGATTACCCTTCTCATTATGATTTTGTACAAATTTAATAGAAAAATATGTATCACGAGTCTAAAATTCTTGCAGTTGGGGTTTAGCAAACAAGAGGTGAAGTATTTTCTGTTTAACGATCACCAGTGGAAGGTTAGGGTAGAAGTCAGACAAGTCTGTTAGCTTATTGAAACATCACGACTCTGTTTTCTTAATTTCAATCTTGTGGCTAGAACTTTGCCAGCATTTTATTTCCCCTGTACACTGTATTTTCAAAAGTCTCAACACTGCCACATTAAGTCAACAATTTTAGGGAGCTTCATCCAGGAGTGAAGTGACTGAAGTGTTCAGATTTGATTGCAGTTCAGAGGGACTACACTGATCTTGCAGGGACTATCAAATGTTTTTGTCATTGATATTCATGTTCTGTGTTTTACTTGATAATTGACTGGCACAAGCAGCACCAACCACAAGTGGACATTTTCTGTGATGTAGAGATTGAAATGATAATGATGTATACTGTTTGATCATGCCACTTGGACGATTCTTAAGTTTATTTAAAAATTTGTCTCCACCAGCTGCATTCAGATATGGATTAGTTTATCTTAACAAAGTCCCTGCTTTTGATGAGTTCCAAATATTTGTATCCACTCAGTATCCATTTATCTTAGAGTCAGTAATCCCGTGTGATGTATATTTTTCTGCATTCTTGGCTTTTTCTTTGAAATATTCATGAATCGAAAAAAAATGCCATAGTTGAGTCAGCTGTGTTGATGTTCAGTAATGGAGGAAATCTGTCAGCAATTTAGTCTGCCAATAAATGTTCCCTTGTTAAAATACTCAATTCCTAAACCTTCAGAAATAATGTGTGACATTGGTTGTGGTAGACTCACTTGTTACCTAATAATCTTGAAGTACTACCAAAACCATTTGCTATAGATTTGTATAAATTTTTGTATAGATATTCCCGCTGAAATTTACTTTTTTTCCTAAAACAGAGAGAACTGATTTAATTTAGAATAGCTGAGGGAAGGAATTATAATTTTTTTATTTTGAATATGGACATTTATTTGCAAATGTATAAAACGATCATCTTAAAAGTTGGCCGATACATGAAACAAGCCAATGATTTTACTTTTTGTCATGTCATTGACACTGATTGCAATTGCCTCTCGGTGGACTTTCAGATGGGCAAAGATTATCTATTCTTTATATTCCCCATCCAGATTTTGCATGTTTCATAGCTGGTTATTGCTTGCATTTGGATTGTTCATAGTTCAATATTCTTTCGGGAAAAACTGCTAATAATATACCAATGATCATTAAACCACGTAGTTCGTGAGCTGTCTCTATTTTATTTCTATCTGATTATTCACAATACTAAATTGTCTGCAAGCACGTTTTACAAACTAAAAATGTATTGCTCTATTTGTAATGCACTAAAGCAACATTTAGTCTTATCCCTCAGACAGCAACTCATGACAGTAAATTTGCACAAACAAGATAACATTCGCGTTCTTATCTATCAGACAGCAACTCATGACGGTAATTTCCACAAAAAAGTAACATTCATGTTTTGATTGCAGCAAACAGTGCTTACAGGTCAGTGACCTCAGAAGGCTGGTGTCATATGTTTAATTTCTGCAAGAAAGATAATCATGGTCCATGGAACAGTTCCGGCATTGTTTTGTTAACCGATATTTAAAAGAAAAGTACTGATAAAGAGAAAGAGTATGCAACTCTTTGTTATTGTAACAATTTGGTAATTCTTAATCTGCCACTCGTACCAGTGAAACATTAATGTATTGCCAGTCCTCAACATTTTATGCAAAATAAAACATCAAATTTGCAAGAAACCTACAGCAGAAGCGAGTTACTACAAGCTTTAGACATTTTATAAAAACGTCAATTTCTCACAGCATCTACATCTTAAAAGTCATCAATGTTTGTTTGGTTTTTTCTTATATAATTTCAAGAAATTGAAGTTTGGTTAAAAGCTCATTCATCTGCTCCAAGCGCGAATACCATTGAAAAATGTTTTTGATGGGAAGACACCATCCTTTCCACTGAGCCAACCTATTCTAAATCTTGTTGAATAACATCAACCATAGTTGGACAAGAACGTCTTCACTCTGAATGCCGCTGGCTAATAAGCTTTCCAAAAATCCCAACATGAGTTGGCTCCTTCTGATGGAAGGACACAATGATCCTATCGATATAAAACCATAAAGATCGATGAAAATGAATTCATAAACAGATACAAAAAGCAAAGTTTGGACTGATGCAAGTCTATGTTTCATACAAAACAACATGAAACTGATTCCACCGGGCCATACGCGGTTTGAAACCAAGTTGAATTTCTTGGCAATCAATCAACCATTATCTTCCTTTTCTTAAGTCGACTCACAGAAGAAATTTAAAATTCAGTACAGATCTTATTTAAATGTTAGGATGCAAAGCTTCTCTTGAACTTCGTAAACGTTTTCAGCCAAAATCATTATTTGGCCTGTGATGTGGAGACTCGAGAGAAAAAGAGGGATTTCATTGTTTTTACCTGCCGTGGTCAGTGATGCCAAGCTTGTCAGAGAGGAAAGACGTGAGAGATGCCACCCACTTCTCCCTCATGGCGTCGGTGAAGTAGTCCGGGTTGTTCCCGTGTATCTCCGTTACAGCCACTGGCTCCATCGACCCAGCTTTCATCATGATCTGGTCAGGGTTAACCTGGATGGTCACTCTCTGTGAAATCATATCACATTGAGTACGAAGTAATGTTAACAATGAGTACTGCTTCAAGCTGCTCAAGATTTCTTAAAAGAAGGAGAGAAACCAAGTGGAACATTATACATGAAATCGACAAGCATGATAGTAAAGGCATTATTTTGATAAGTCCAAAGTTTTCACTTGCATGTGAAATATTTGAGAACAGAAGCTCACTTTAACTGGTTTGGGACTCAAGTTTTTGAATTCTTTGCAATTAAAGCCTTCCAAAATGGAATTTAAAAGACCCCCCCCGGATGATGCATTTACTCACCCTTTCAGGTCGGCCGATAATGCTCGCCAGCAGTTGAGAGAACTCCTTGAGAAAGGACTCGTCCACTTTAGCCTTGGGGACACTGGTGCTTAGCTCGCAGAAAGGCATGTTGAATTTTTAGGGTCTCCTACAAACGGAAATTAAAAGCATTCACTTCCTGTAAACTTTTTTCAATACAACCAAGTCTCTACCGTCACAGCCATAATAGCTAGGCTGAAAAATAAGAACCTCACCAAACTGTATTCACGTTTCAAAGCACAAAATGAAAGCCGCGCTAAACAGTTCAGCAGTAACATGATACAAGAAATTTAAAAAGGTGATTTTTGTTTTACATGATTACATTGAAAACATACCTGCAAACGAATCTTATTGCGTAGGTATGAACTACTCAACAATCATGTGATCTTGAACTGAAATCCTTCCTTTTATACCAACACAAGTGAGGTACATTGTTCAAAGGGTAGAAACGAGTGCGACGTTTTGGGCCCTCGGCACACCGTGCTTCGAATGCATTGCACTCTAGTGTATCCGGGTTGGATTTTGAGAAAGAAGGCGGTTCCAACTCAAAGGTCAGACTGAGTATGAACCACCTATTTGGTACATTGTATGGAATTCTGGATATCGATATAAGGATCATTATAATGATAATAGCGAAATGCGAGCCCTAAAATCAGGAACATAAAGGTGCATTGAAGACTACGAATGACCCAGCAAATCCTTTTTTCGATATCATTGAATAAAATTCAAAGTTTAGCAGGATCCTGTCCAGTTTCCAAGTAAATAAAATTGTAATTGCGTTTTCGTCGAGCTTGTGCAGTGGGCGGGACTATCAGGTGAAACAGAAGGGGGAACTATTCAAAAGAGTTAAACTTTGACGTCACACTTCCCATCAGGTCCTGACACCTTCGCTTTCAGAATTACATGAAGTCCGAGCATTTGACCCTATGAAGTCACCTTCTAGTTCTAAAGCGTTGGGTCCAGCTAGATGAAGTAGGCCTAAGAACGTCCATAATATCACAAGATCGTGACCAGGGGAGTGGCATGATTTTTCTAGACCCCTATTCACATGGTCATGGCTTACATGGAGCGATTAAAAGACCCTTTGTAACCATGGAGATATATGTCATGGTCCGTGTATGTACCGTCCATTCGTGTTTGTGCCATTACACACGATATCAGACCATTCGTAACAGTAAGTTTTCTGCAAGCGCATTTTACAAAACTAACAATTGCTCTCTTTGTAATGCACTAAACAACGTGGGTTATCTGTCAGACAGCAACTCATGAGTAAATTTCCACAAACAAGATAACATTCATGTTCGTACCTGTCAGACAGCAAACGGCGGTAAAGTTCCACAAACAAGATAACATTCATGTTTCTAATACAGCAAATAGTGCATAGGTTATCAGTGACGTCTGAAGGAAGTTGTTATTTGTTTAATTTCTGCAAGAAAGATAAAGTCCATGTTGGTCATTCTTGGAAGCTGTGCAGAGAGCACTGATGGCATTGTTTCGTTAACTGATGTGTAAAAGAAACCGATAAAGACAGACACAGCCCAGGGTTCTTGGTTATTCTAATGCTTGTGTAGTTTTAATAATCTGCTACTTGTACCAGTGACACATTAAATCATTGTCAACATTTTACGCAAAAATTTAATTAAATTTTGGAAGAAACCTATAGCTGAATCGAGTTACTAACAGCTTTAAATATGCTTACAAAAATAACAATTTATAATAGCATCTACATTTTTAAAGTCACCAATGTTGTTTTTTCCCTTGTATTATAATTTCAAGAAATTCAATTTTTGTTGGAAACCCCATTAATCTGTTCAAAGCATTAAAAACACCGCAGAAAAATAGAACAGGTTAATGGCAAAATACCATCCTTTTCCACTGTTGCGACCATTCTAAATCGTCCGTTTCGAATACCATTAACTATAGTTGGAAAGGAATGTCTTCACTTTGGCTTCATCTGGCTAACAAGCTTTCCAAAAATCCCAACGTGAGTTGGCGCCTTGTGATGGAAGGACACAATGATCCTGTCGATAAAAAAAAAACCATAAAGATCGATGAAAATAAAATTATTAATAAAGTGACAGAAAAAGTTCGGACTGATGCAAGTCTATGTTTCAAACACAACTTTGAAACCACTTCCGTGTACGCGGTATGAAACCAGTGTTGTAGTCGAGACCGTCACAAGACCAGATACGAGACCAGACGCAAGACCATGGACAAGACCAGTCAGAAGTAACAGGGTGAGCAATAACAAAGGAATGTTTTGTTGCAGTTCATTTGAATAGATTGTGACTTCAATTCAGACTGGAGGTCTTATGTTGGCCTTGTGCTGGTCTTGTGAAGGTCTTACTGGTCTTGACTACAACACCGTTTGAAACCAAGTTGAATTTCTTTGCAGTCAACAGTCACCGCAGACAGCCAATATCTTCATTTTCATAAAGAAACACATAGACAGAGTTTGAAATAACAGATGTGATTGTAAAGTTAGGATGTCAAGCTCCACTTTGTAAAAGTTTTCATCCAATATTAAAAAAAAAAGGTTACATTTTAAGGAAATGCTTTTGCTGTTTTTTGGCCTTTGATGTGGAGACTCGAGAGAAAAAGAGGGATTTCACAGTTTTACCTGCCGTGGTCAGTGATGCCTAGCTTCTCAGAGAGGAAAGACGTGAGGGATACCACCCACTTCTCCCTCATGACGTCGGTGAAATAGTCCGGGTTGTATCCATGTATCTCTGCAATAGCCGATGGCTCCATCGACCCAGCTCGTATTATAATCTGGTCAGGGTTAACCTGGATGGTCACTCCCTGTGAAATCATATCAAATTGGGAACGAAATGATGTTGAAAATGAGTCCCGCTTCAAGCTAGCTGCCCAATATTTCTTTCTTCAGAAGGAAAGAAATTAAGTGACACATATACATGTACGAAATCGAAAGGCACGACGGAAAAGACATCATTTTGATAAGTCCAAAGTTTTCAATAGTTTGCGAAAAATTTGAGAATAGAAGCACACTGTAACTGGTCTGAGGCTAACGTTTTTGAATTCTTTGCAATTAAAGCCTTCCAAAATTACATTAAAACGATACCCCCCCCAAAAAAAAGAAAACTGAAAAAAAAACTGAAAAAAGAAAAAAGTGAAACCTGTACTGATGATAGGCCTACTTACCTTTTCGGGGCCGTCAACAATGTTCGCCACGAGTTGGGAAAATTCCTTGACGAAGGACTCGTCCACTTTAGCCTTGGGGACACTGGTGTTTAGCTCGCAGAAAGGCATACTGATTTTTTTAGGGTCTCCTACAAACAAAAGTTAAAAGCATTCACTTCCTGTAAACTTTTTCCAATACAACCAAGTCTCTACCGTCACAGCCATAATGCTATACTGAAAAATTAGAACCCCACCAAACTGCATTCACGTTTCAAAGCACAACAAGCCGCGCTTGTTCAAGCAGTTCAGCAGTAACATGATACAAGAAATCTTAAATGTTGAGTTTTGTTTTAAATTATTACATTGAGAACACAAGAAAACATACCTGCAAACGAATCTTACTGCGTAGGAATGAACTCCTCAACAATCATGTGATCGCGAATTAAATCTGCTTCTCCTTTTAACACAAGTGAGGTGCTGTTACCCGGATGTTTTATGTATTAAGACCAGCAACTGCGACGTGTCATTCCCGTAGCGCACACTGAATATCCGGGTAGGATGCTGAGAAAGCGGCACCTCCAACTCAGAGGTCAAAGTATAAGCCACCTGTTGCGGGTAAATTGAGATTCCGGATATTGATATAGGGATAGCAATAATGAAAATAGCGACATAATAAGAGCCCTCAAACCAGGAACACAGAGGTGCATTGAAGAAAAGAATGACCCAGCATTATCCCCTTTTCTCGATATCTCGAATAACATTCAAAGTTAAGCAGGATCCTGTTGAGTTTGCAAATAAGAAATAAATGAGTCTAGACCACACAATTGCGTGTCCTTCAAGTGGGTGGGGCTTTGAGGAGAATAAGAAGAGGGACTCTTCAAAAGAGTTAAACTATATGACGTCACACTTTCCAAAAACCGTCGCCTTCAGAATTTGTCCGAGCATTTGATTCTATGAAGTCACCCTCTAAAGCATTTTAAAGCTGGTCCAGCAAGACTTGTCAATAATATTGTCAGATTGTGACTCGATTATGATGTACGTTTGAATGTGTATGTTCATGGAGGAAGGAACTGTTTTCCTTCCCGGCTCCATGGTATGTTCAAGTGGCAATTTTTCTGGACTCCGATACATTTTAATAATGTTGATGGCATGCATAGAGCAATTAAAGACCCGTTGTAACCATTGAGATCGATCATGGTGTGTGGGTAAATGGTCCGTGGTGTATGCATCGTTCATTCGTTTTTCGTAGCCGTTACACAGGGTACAGTCCCGGACTGACCCCGGCCCGGGCCCCGCTATTATGATCTCATTGTGAACCCGGATTCAACTTGAAAATGGATGGTGTGACGTAGTACACTGTTGTACACCATGTACAGTGTACAGCGCGCAGTGTTTACACACGAGCGGAGTTCACCCTAGCTTTGACTACCGATCTCCGAAACACCACTGCATCAGTAATAAATCTGTAATCCTCTCAATAAATAACGATCTTATATAACAATATCCCCTCCAAATTATACAGAGTACTAAGCACTAAATTCAGCTGTGGCCCGGGCACGCGGCCTGCCCCAAGCATATTGCCAGGGGACGCATTGAGTCGAGCATCGATTGCAAATGCCATGAACTGTACTAGTGGAGACCCGGCTTTCGGATCATGCAGATTGCGGAAGGACAGTAAAAATCTCTGAGTATGAAAGGGCAAACTTTGGCTTTTCAAGGAAGGAGGGGGCGAGGGGTGACGGCCGGGGTGAGTTTTCCACTGAACTTTCTTTGTTCAAGTCGGCGCGTCCCTCCCTCCCGGCCTCCCGTGATTTGTTTGTCTTTAGTTATTTTTTTTTACACAACCGTCTGGGGATTCAGCATTTAGTGTTATGTATACAGTAAATGCTTTCATTACTTGCAGTCTTAGGCTGCTGGAGAGGGGATTATAGTCTTCACGGCTCATGGAAGCATTTTCCCAAAGAAATGTCAGACTTGAGTCGCGTTAGCCTTTTTGTTTCTTCGACGCCGTATCGATGCGTTGTATAAAAATTGTCCCACCCTTTTTTCTTTTCTGACTGGAAACTTCGTTTCTCCAGCTGCTTAAGAGTTCAGTTTAAAAATTCAGTAAAATCCGTTAGTTGTTTGTCTGTCTGTTTGAAAGGACACCCGTGAAACGACTCGGAAGTCAAAGTTCAAAATGCGTAAAGGAGGTTTTGTCACTTTTTATAAAAATGAAAAAAAAAAGGAAGTTGAGGGCGCATCGCAGCAGTATTAGTCTGGTTGAAAGTTCCTTCGGTCTGGTTCCTAACCACACGTGACTGTAAAGTGCAAGGTTCGCAGCGTCCAATTTTGTTGTGTGATTTCGTAACATAAACGTGTACGAGCGTCCACCCCCAACACAACTCGATCACGGGCACGTTAATAAATTTAAGCCAAATTGCCTTTTCTTCCAGATTAGGATGGAGACGAAATGTCATATTTGTCATAAGCCTTCCAGCAGTACAGGATCATTTTCAGAACAGGTTGTGAGAACCTATTCAAGCGAAGGCAGCCAAGGTAAATACTCGCCACTTGTCTAAGACATGATGTAACAAGTACCATGATTGCGATTACGCATTCACGGCAATTTTACACAAAACGATAGAGTGTAGCATTGAAAGATGTTCATGACGATCTAAGACGATGTCATGGTAGGCCTACGGTGGATTGTTTGCTTCCTCAGTTTACTTAGCTGAGCTAATTGCCTGTTCCCTAGTCATGTTAGTTCCAAGAAACAAAAAAATGAACTGCAGCTGTGCTTAATCATGTGAATTAAAGTTTAATTGTTGGCATGTTGATTGTGCCTCCCTGCTGGGGGGGCTGGGGGAGAGAAAGAAGCATGCCATGGTAGACAATGAACCCTGGAGTTCAAGGGATGGGGTACCCCCCAGAACTATCGGCCGTTCTGGGGGTAGGGGGGGGGAGCAACAGGCGTGACAATGTTTGATTTTTACGCAGTCAGTCGATCTGAAGGCATGATTTTCCAAGAAATGTGGCATCAGCTAGTTGGCTTCTCTTGCTTGTTTCCAGTTGTTCCCCATCAACAAACCGTCGATGTTACACCCCAACTACAGTGTCTGTCGGGTTAGTCCCAACTGTAGTTGGGACTGATGTTACAGATGGAGCATAACATCAACGCATGATAGTAACGTTTAACAACCTTAAAATGTCCAAAGTGCAGCATAAATCAGCTGAAGAGGCACAGAACTGTGATATTTGGGCTAAAAAAAGAATTTTTGTTTGTGTTTGTGTGGAATGGTGTGATACTGAGAAGTAATGTACAACAAATGGCTGTGCATGATGCAGAAAACGAGTTGAGGTACCAATATATTGAGAACAGAATATAAGTGGGCATGTCATTACACTGTTGCAGTTATGAGGTGGGAGACATAAGTTTTGGGGAATTCTGCAAATGCACCCAAATCTGTGAGTTTGAACAAAATATTTATGAGAATTTTTCTGAAATATTATCCTCAGTTCCAAAGGTGTCCTGGATGCGTCGCATAACAAAAGGCTTTGTGAACTACGGCAGAAATCTGAAGTGGGTACCGATTCCCTTAGGGGTAGGGTTTGCCTATATCTGCTACCAACAATATGGTCACATCAAGAAGAGAGAACGCCGGAGAGAGCTATCATCCAATGACATAGCGGATCGTTTGGCTACACAATGGCAGGTGATTACAGATATTCTGTTTTCTTTAGGTTTTCTTTTCTGAACATAGCTTTGTACGGAGGCAGTGTTGGAGATGGAATAAAAATCGAAAAAAAAAAAAGAAAATTAGATTCACATTTCAACTGAGGTTATCCATTGTCATGTCTCATTGGCTCAGAAACTTGAGAGATACTGACACATTTCACCTTTTGGTGATTCTGTGAACAGTTTCGTTATTTTTGTTTTTTCAATATACTTCAACAGTAATCACAAGTTTGGCAAAAAATATAAGAATTGACCTAAATTGTTTTTTTAAATTTGGCCTCCCCTTAAAAAGAAGTTAATGATCGCATAATCTAATAATAAAAAGTGTAGCCATAGTTTTGGTTAGTTATTTTAGAAGAATTTTATATTTTGTCTTGGAAAATTAATTCCAACAGAAGAGTTCTCTTTACTCTGTCTAGTTCCAAGTATTTTTAAGAGCTCACAGGCATATTGCTCTATGAAGTCAACATGTAGACCACAAATATCATCCAGTCACACTGAGGTCAATAGAGGGCTCTGTAGCCATTTCTGTTGGCCTTGACCTGAAGCTGTCACAATATGTGCTGAACAGCATGTGCATTGCATCCTACAAGGTTGAAGAAATGACATAAATGATGGGAAAGAAAAACCACACAAGCATGTTTTACTGTGATTCATTTTAAAAATGAATCTATTGGTCTGAATTCCACTCACCCTTAAATGTCATGTAACCAGCTTTGCTGTGAAGTGATAGTACAATTTCACACACCATGTGTTAATGGCTGAGATTTCTCATCAGTTTGTGGTAAGGTCGGGAAATAGGATGCCCCTTTAAGTACCAAGAAAGGTGTAATGCTCAAGTGCCAGATGGTCATCAGGGCCAGTTTACCCATTGATAAATCTTTGGTCCTAGTTTCCCTGCTTGAAATGTGGGTGCTGAGGGCAACACCCCATTAAGTTGACCTTTTTCAAGGAGTGATATTTCTTTCTATAAGAAATCGAAATTTCTTAATGTATGTCATCTGCAACGTGTAGTTGTATTGATCAAAGGATTTACTCAATTAAAGTAACAGGATTATGTATTTGACAAATACATGTAAGTTCAGATGGTACATATACATGTCTAAGCTCAAATATTTGTCGGAGAACTGAGTTGGAACCGTGGGGACAGAGAGAGAGTTCATCTTATGAGACCTGTTTTTTTTTTTTATCCGAAATTTTGTGTAGTATTTTGTTAAGGTGAATACTTGTTCATCTGATTAGACCCATTTTTTTAAAACCGAAAATTATGTGTAGTATTTTGTTAGGGTGAATACGTGTAATCAAACAGGATTATTTTCCTCACCAGCTTCCTGTTTGACTGAAAGAAGCTTTTCATAAGGCAGGTTCTTAAATGAGATACTTTCGATCTAATGTTCTCAACCAACTTTCGTTTGCCCTCTTCAGCATCTTTTTGAGAGTAGATTCCACCTTTTATTGATGATGAACTTTGTTTGTCTAATAACAAGTTTTATCCACAATATCTGAGAAGCTTTTGCTTCAATGCATAAAAGTTGAGGTTTCATTCTCCTAGCCACAGGAATTTGTGTCCAGTGGGGAACCCTATACTTCAGAAAGGGACAGCCTTTGGTTCTGAAAGCCTCGGAAATTTTTTTTTTTAGAAGAAGCATATAATATTGTTTATTTGATTGAGTTCCTGTAGAAAATGATACAGATTTCGAACCAAACACTCAAGGTAATTTTTGGCTGAGATTTTTTGAAGTTAATAAAAATCCACAATGTCATTTTTGCATTTTTGTTTGGTACATCGTGGAGCATTTTTTTTTTCATGAATCACAATGTCTTATATTCAAGTGTGATGAAATAAAGTTTGCATAGTTTTTTCTGTTTTAGTGTGTTTATTTCACCCACTGAGCCTATTCCCGTCAGATCAACAGCATTACTTGAAAAAAAATGTTTACCCTGTTAATACAAGATAATCTCAAACAGTGCAAGGACTTTGATATAAATTGACCTGAATATTTAACCTTGTTGACACTTCCCCAATTATTTTTCCTGTAATTTGATAAAATAATTCCAATAATTGAATCTTTGAAACATGCCGGGGTATCTAGATGGCCGATGCTTTTATCTGTCAGTACTCCAAGCCCCCCCCCCTTGAAAATTCAGAATTTTTTGTTGATGAATTAAAAGGGATTTTCATTTAAAGTTAAACACAGCCCTCCTCCACTTCCAAGAAATTTGGCTTCCAACTAGTAGATCTTGTACATGAATCGGTTTGCAATTTTGCTTGTTTTTGAGGTGTTTTGTCTTGTTTTCTTCACTTGTTCCTCCTCCCTTTGCTTCCACCGTAACGCCCACCCCTCATTCGAACTCCCAGGGCGCACGCAGGACTGATGCAAGTTTAAGTTCTCGTCTGCCTTGCACAACGTACAGACTGATAACGTGTAGTTCGAGTAAACATGGTCATGTAAACAAAACTTAACAATCCCGACTTTTGTTTGCCCCGATTTCATCATTCCTTTGTTGATGCTTTCTCGTGCTCAAAGTACAGACATTTAGTTGCCTGGTCGCGTTATTTGGGGTTACACGTGTGTGACTGATCTGTATGATTTTCCATGATAAACATCGCCTGATTTCGTTGCCGGTTGCCGAGGGCTTGGTCAAAGCGTGTAAGCGTAATATATACGCTAACGGACCGTCGCATGTCGGATGTTACCATATCATCCTTCACATTATGAATGTTTTCATGTTGTGTTACCCGAAGTTGCCTAAAGGACAGGAAAGTGGAACCTGCGATACAAGCTCTTTGTGTGTGATTCACTGAGAGGCTCAATATGGCGATCGAATCTCTCCTCATGATCAGCCAGTTTCCTATGCTCTTGTCTGTCTTCGTGCTGCTAGAGCTCTGGTATTTCATCTACACCAATCTCTGTCCCTTCTTGGATCGCATACCGTATTTTCAGAGGCTGAACCCGTGCAACGCCTGTCTGCGAATCGGGTTCCATCTCTTGCCGCTTGCACGGTTTCTTGCTTTGCCGTCTGACGGAGACCCCGCTGCTTTGGGCGAGCGAGACCCTTTCGCTGGGGAGATTGAAGTCGAGGATTTCAGTGTCGGGTGGTTGTTCAAAGGCGACACGGATGAAACTGAAAGCAGTGATGAAAATAAAAATATTGCCGTGGTGTCCAGTGAAGTGGATGGATGGCGTAAACATTCAGTGAGTTTCCTTTTCTGTGCCATCAGATTCTCGTGCCCGTAAAAGGTCTCGCAAACCGTAAACAATGGTAAATCGAGAGAGCTCCTGGGGACAACTTTGCACATATAGTGAATACAATATTAAATGTCCTTTTTAAAAATTGTATGAGTATCAAATCTTCTTTCACTAACTCTCTTTAGAATGTTGGGCATGCTGTTCTTGATGATTTAATACAACAAATTTTAAAATGACATTTAGTTATCATTTTTTCATTTTTTTCTGAAAAAGTTACTGTTTACATTAAATTGCTTCTGCTATTAAGCTGCTATTAAATTTTTGGAAGCACAACCCACAGGAATGTAAAGGCCAAGCATATTGAATGTCTTTTTTTAAGGAGGTGTGGTTCTCTATATTTATTTTCAAAATGGCTTCCACATCTGGTTCTTATTCATACTGATGCTTCCACTGTTCAAATGAACTAAAGTAGAGATATTTTGAACTAGACAATCAACTATATTTACAATGGGTTTAGGTTTAGTACACCTGTAGCTAAGTTTCACTAATTTGTGACGAAAGAAACTATTTCTCTGTTATTTCTCCTTTTGCATTCACAGGACTTACATGTACATGTATTTTCATATGGAAAAAGAAACATGTAATAGGTTTCCCAGCCATCCTGCAAATCAGGAAAAATGCTGGAAAACAAATTGCCCTTTTCCAGTCATGGAATTTGAGAAAAATACCTCAAATCAGGAAAAAAGTTGGGGAATTAGTTTGGTCTGAAAGAGCTGCCCAGTCTGTCATATGTTGTTCACATGTGACACATCTTCAACAACACTATGAGTGTGTCAAAGTGGAAGGGGGGGCAAAATAATTGTCTTGAAATTCTGAAAATTGAACAGGGAAAACTCAGGATTGAATCAGGAAATTTTGTTTCCATGAAATACTGGGAACTTTTGTACTTGTATAAAAAAATTACAGTGGTTAATTTCTTAGACAAGTTATTGGCTAAAAAGAGCCATGCTGGTGGAGAGTGTTCATTTCGTTGGTAGCAGCAGGTTCGTAACACATGCATCTCATAGTTGTTTGTGAACCAGCGAAGTGGAGTTCCTACCAAAGGAGCCTCCATTCCGAGGAAAATCGCACCCTCGCTTGGTCCCTTTCAGGGCCCATAGCGGTACAAGTCATTACAACTGACAGTAACATCTTGCCAACACTCTGTTGAAAACACCCTTTTTATTACTTGATTTCTAACAGATAAATATTTACAAGGCCTTGCCACTTCGCTTTGTATCTCGTCTTTGGGGTCAAGTCAACAGCGTAGATGTACCTTATGGTCTTCGTAAGCCAATCTACAGCCTGTACACACGGCTCTTTAATTGCGACCTATCGGAGGCATTGGTAGAGGATCTGACGACCTATCAAAACCTGAGTGCCTTCTTCCGGCGAGAGTTGAAGCCTACAGCCAGGCCACTTGACAAGTCCAAGTCTCTGGTAGGTACTCCTGTAGGTGAAGTGCAGACAGTTTTAAACTTCAACCCTCATCAGATATCCCAGGGCATTCTAGGCATAATGTTATGCTTGCCTTTGGGTTATTCTATAACTTTTGTATTCAATTGTTTTTGGCCCCTGTTGCATCTGATCTATGATTTTGCAAGTTTAAAAAACATTCTTCAATTAAAAAAATGATAACATGTACAATAATGCAAATTACCTGGCAAATAAATGTAGACACTTGTTTGGTACTGTTGAGTGCAGATGTTACCACTTTACTCAAACCACATGTCATTCCACATATCTGTAAGGACAGTCAAATGTTACTGATTCTATGTTATGCCAGTATGGACTAACAGCAGCCTGATTCAACATCTGAACAAATCGTTAGTCAAACCCTGGCAGTTATAAATAGATGGATGCCAAAATTCATTTGCCCCCCCCCATTTATGAAATCAGTAATTTCCAAGTCGAATCACACAGGTCAGGTGTAACAGGTGGACACAACAGTGTTACTTTGGACCCTGAATTTGTAGATTGACTGTTATAAAGTTCTGCTTTCCAAAGACCAAAGCGCCGTTATATTGGTCAATCAAAAGAATTAGTGAAGCATGCAAAACTTGTTAACCTTTCAACCCCACCAGGTACCCTGGACGCCACCTAGACACAATGTTTTTCTTGCTTTTACAGTTACACCTCCAAAGACCATAGGTCTTAATTTTGCTCACTCATAAAAGGTATGCCTACAAACTTCGAACAATAGATGAGGGTAAAGTTAAAAATTAACCCTTGGAGAAGACAACAACGAACTTCCTATTTAGATACATGATGTTGTGTGATTTGAATGACACTTTGCAGGTGAGTCCGTGTGATGGAAAAGTACTGCACTTTGGCAAGGTTGAACGGGGCTGGATGGAGCAAGTCAAAGGCGTCACGTACACACTGCAAGGGTTCCTAGGACCAAAGACGGCCAATCAACAGGAAGGAGAAGTCAAGCAGGTGAAAAATAATAATGAGTCCCAAAGCAAGAGTTCATTTCTGCTGTTAAGTCTGCTATTGAGAATGTTCAACCAACTGCAGCAGAATTCAAAATCATCCTTGCGTGAAAGGCTTGATAAAGCTGAGGGGATGCAGCTAGCAAAAAATACTAGGAAAATTGAGCACAGAACCACTGACATGAATAGATTTGATAGATGTATAGATTTCATGTAGATGTATGTATGTAACTATGCCCAGTAAATAGCTGAAACGTTTTTTGAAAGTTCGGCAACTATCAGGTCTACCAAAAGGCTTGATTGTCAGTGTATTGTGTATATATCCAATTCTTATGTGTGTAGTTTCATGTAATGATGTTGATAATCAGCTTAAGGTTTTATTACATCAACCTGAATATCAAACAGACTATGTGGGCCTTGAAATTCACTATTACATATTGCAAGCTGTCTGTTTAGAAAAAAAAAGAGGAAATAGTGAGCTGACTTTGTAACATTGTGAGTGATCATTGCATCGGTTCTGTCATTTCAACAGGTCTCTAATGACCACTTCCAAAGCCGTTTGACCACCAAAGCCGGCAACAGGTTGTACCAGTGTATCCTGTACCTAGCTCCCGGTGACTATCATCGCTTCCATTCACCTGCCGATTGGACAATCAAACACAGGAGACATTTCCCTGGTAAGGTCATTACCTGTACCTAACCTTAAGACATATAAATAGCATGTTGAATGTCCTGGCCTTGGTTGACTTTTGTCATTAGGAGACAATACTATCAACGGTTGCTGTGCTGAGCTGGTACATCCATGGTTGAATGATTGAGGATCATATTGCATCGCTTGGTCATTCAGCATTTGAAATTCTGCAATATGTGGTCCACAAATAGTCCAACCATTAGTTTGAAACTGATTTAGTAGGGTTAGCTAACCCCGGAATACTTATTTCAGACCCATATTTACATTGCGTTACTTTACATTATATTTTTGCCTTTAAATTAAGTATGCAACCCTGTTGACCACTTATCTAGACAGCTAATTTTGTCATCGCTAAATTAAATAGTCCTTAATCAGTCAAGCGTGACCAAAGCATTGTGTTGCTGGTACCAAATGCAAACTTACAAAATGAGCTTTCAATTACGTGTTAAGTGTACACTTAAGGAAAACGTTATTGAGCAGTTCATGGCCAATTAAAATGGTCTCATTTTTGAATGCACACTGTATTGTGATTCTTATTCATTTGAATATTTCAGGTCTTCTCTTCTCGGTCAATCCTGGCATTGCTCGCTGGATCCGTGGTCTGTTTTCTCTGAACGAGCGAGTAGTACTATGTGGTGAATGGGAGCATGGCTTTTTCTCCATGACCGCCGTGGGCGCCACTAATGTAGGATCCATCAATATTTACTTCGATGAGGTACATGTCTCTCATCATTCAGCTACACCAAATAAGATTCATCAATTGATAAATCATGAGTGGAAGACCTACTATGGATAATGTAAAGTCAAGCGACGTTAACCCTAATTACCCTGGTTTCATCAAAGGGCAACAGACTGTTGATTGTATCAGAGTTTGTGGAAGAGATAAACAAATGAAGAAATTCCTTTGGGTAGACACTCAGACTTGTGATATTATGGTGTAGATGCAGAATTTGTACATTCATTGGAAATATCTGTTGTGATGTTATTAACTAAAAAACTTGAAGCATGAATAAAAACCATTTGAGAACTGCTAATGTGAAATTGTTACAGCGTTCCATGCTCAGGGATCTTAGTAATAGAAAATTGTATGGTGTCTGTCATTCTGAAAGACTCGTGTGATCTCAAGCAACAGCATTAAAACCCTAACGCTCCTCAGTCTTCCAACAGGTGAAGGATTGAGGGAGGGTTAGGGTTAAGCCTTTACACTGCAGAGGGAATCGTAGAGGGTCTAAACTGAAGTTTTAACTGCTTTTTTCATCCAGGAACTTCGCACCAACAAAAAAGGCAAGTTCAAGCAAGGCGAGTACCGGGACCACGACTATACCGCTATCACCAGAGACTCTGCAGGTATCAGGGTTGCTAAGGGTGACAGCATCGGGGAGTTCAACCTCGGTTCAACTATTGTTCTCATCTTCGAGGCACCAAAGGATTTTGACTTCTCCTTCAGGCCTGGGGACAAAGTTCGTCTCAATGCAGGCATTGGGACATTATGACGCTAATCAGTTCGGTATTAGGGTTTGACCTCGTCCACGGTTGTTTATTTATGAACCTGACTCTGTCAAAATTCATCAAGTCTAGGTCTTGTATGTTTTGACGGATATGGGACTTGGACATCTGTACCGTTATGTACTTTACCACAGGGCTTGATGCCTGTTCTTATCTGTAAAGTGCCTGTGGGTTATTGTGTTGAACGAGGACTGTTCAGGATGGTCACAAGCAAGGATTGTGGATATTTGCAGAAGGTACCAAAAGAAGCGGGGGTTCTAGATGGTTCCATGCAAAGATGGAGGGGACGGTTTTCAGGAGAGTTCTTAGCCAAGTGTCAAGGAAATAAAGGGGAATTGAGAGGATTTCTCGTATGTTCTTTGTTTGAATTACAGAATTCCAACTCATTGAAAAGAAGACAGTTCTGTAGATTGGAATTAAAAGAATGTACTCAAAATTATTTTGACGTAATGCTGGCTCATGTTTCTTTAAAGAAAGAATCATGACTGAAATAAAATTCACCTAGTTATTTGGCTGTTTGTTTATGCCTTGGAGTGTAAATATGCTGCAATAAAGTTGTGCTAAGTGCTAATATTTTGGAAAGGATATTTTGACTTGTTACTGAGGTAAAAAGTGTGACAGAGATGATGTTTTGAATCTACTGGACGGCTCTCAATTTGTCCTGAATTGGCCATGCGCACAGTGATTATATTCTCTCATGGTTTTAACATGTTCCGAGTAGAGACAACAATTGTATCAATTCATCCACATCTGACATGTAGATATCAGTTCTAGTAGTCCAGTGGGCTCAGGACATTGATGAAGTGAAAAAACTTTTAAAATCTCAGTTTCGAGCTTTGACTTTCTTAGCACATTCATGTTTTACGGAAAATGCAACCCTGGAGTTTGGTTAACAACTCAACCATGCTTTTGGTTTTCTGTCACCAGTACATATTAAACTACATTTGTCACAAAAGATCACCTTCAGAATAATTTTAGCCCCGTCGGTACATGAACATCTGGTTTGCCCTGCTCAAATTACCGAAACTGTTACCTGTGTGTAGTTCTTACCAAATGCTTTCAGTAGTACTTATTCTTTTTTGCCCATCAGTTGTCATAACAAAGAATATTCACGAGTAAAGTCTGTACTTGATAGCTGACAGGAAAAAAAGATTGTATAGTGCTAAAGGTTTTAGTATTGAATAATCTGTATTGGCTGAAAAGTAGAACAACAAAACGTATCATGTATCCACAACATATTTGACTGTTTGGAAAACATTAATGAAAAGTCATCAAATTATGGCACAGTGGTTTCCAAAATGAATGTGAAGAGAGAGTTTTTTTTTATAAATTTCCACGTATTTACCCTTAGGGCCTAAAAACTCATTTGGAAACCATCGGGGGTGGAAGTCTTCGATGATACATTTTCTAGTTCATTGTTGATACAAAATTCAGTATCTGTGGTATAGGAGAGTAATGTTATTCTTCACTCCCAAGTGGACTGCTTAGACATGCACAGGGTCACTGAGATGAAATAAAAATACAAGCAATCCAAAATTAATCATAAACTTTCTATACTCGGGGTATTTTAAGATGAGTAAAGAACTATGCCGAGTTTGGTGATTGGCCAGTTTCTATAAGATATTTTCCTTCCTGTGAATATTAGCCGGTTGGAGCAGCCAAAAATAAAATTCGACAATCAGGGTAGTGGTTGTTAAAATAAGAATTTTTGGTATCATTGTTTTCTTCGTAAAATATTATTATTCAGAGCAGAGGGTATATAATTCAACAAATTAAAACAAAAGTAGGCCCAACTGGCCTGACGGAGCCTTTATGAAAATTTGCTGGAGGTTGGGATGACGTCACTGATTCTTGATTCTTCTATCTCTGATTGGTCAACTGGTGGCTATTCCATATTTCACACTCGTCGAAACTCAAGGGGCAAAAATAGTGTTGCGGTCTATGGGGAAATCTGAATTATTGACTAAACTCTAAACCTTTATATCAAAATGTGCCTAAAATTTCACTGTTCATGCACTATGAATATCTCAAACTCTGTACCGAAAAGGTTTCAGTTATTTTTGCTTTGTTGCAGCAAGAAGAAGGAAAACATGCACATCCCTGTACAAAATGAATGGAGTGTTGCCTCTTTGCCAAGACGTGAGTGCAATACACGGAACAACCACCAATCGCGAGAATCCAATCACAATCGAATTTCAACTGCGCAATGGCTGGTTTCCGCCGCAATGAATTCGAACTTCGAGTGAATGCTGGAACGGGAACCAGTTTAACTGTATAACAATGAAATCAACACGTGGGGTGACGCGCATTCATAATTTCGCGGGCGTTGAAGTAGGAGCTTTTCTCTACGCCATCTCGACAAAGTAAGTTTTCCGTTTTTTAGGGAAATTTAGCTGTTTTGACCCTCATAGTTAGAAGTGACATAGTTTACAGTTTAAAGAGTAAACTTACTCAATTAAAGGTCGGAACACTGCCCTTTTTAAGCACGAAATTAAATTCCGAATGTCGGACCCGTCCATTTCATGTAGGCTATAACTTGAAAGTTTGGGGTTCAGTACCATTAGCACCCTGTTCCTTAATAAGGAAACAAAGTTCACTTTCTCAAACTTACTAACATTTTGACTTTAAGGAACCATTACTCATTCCTAATGGGCCTAGTTTAGGTAAAGTTTTACAATATTTAAGCAAGAAAACTTCAAATTCCTAACCCGAGTTTTGCAAAAGACAACCACTCGGTCGAATCACGCCGTTTTCTTTTTCGTGTGGTTACCCGACTCGGGCTTTTTGGATTCATAGAAACAAATCTCCATCTAGGTCAAGGAACCAGACTACATGTGCTTATTTGTCATTCAGGGTGCACCACTACAAATAATTCCCACAGACAGCAGTGATAAATCCCCATACTTCACAAATATTGTAAAAATAATCACAACTCTCACAGGTGTTCAGGCTGCACAGAAAAATGATGTTNNNAAAACTGTCCTTGTCCAGAAAGTAGCCATTTTGAAAACCTTCCCTCTGCAAAATGGCTCAAATAGTGCCACTTTTGGACCCAATTGCATCCAAATTACTCAGAATTGGAAGCCCTGAATCCGGCCCAGAGGTTCAGTCTCATATTTCTTCAATTCCCCAATTCCTTGGCTCGCAGGACCCTCTAATCTAGAATTTTTTGAGTGTATAACTTTTATTAGTAAGCTCGGCGGACATATTTCTGGCCTAAATACAAGGGTGTACCCTTCACAGCTCTTCGCAGTACGCTGCCGTTTTACCTAAAATTTTATATCGACCCGAAATGTCTCATTTAGGGCGCCACCATTGGCAAGAAAAGGAGAGGCACGTAGAGATACATGTATATGCTGTAACTGGCTTTGATTTGTTTCCGTGCTTGATTCTTTACAGCAGAAAATATGAAGTACATTAGGGTATTAAAATACAGATGTTCAAGAATGTTTACTGAACCACTTGTGTCGGTGAGAGACAAGTTTACGTTTGTACTTTCACTTATGAAACCATGGAGGTAGAATCTACCTCCATGATGAAACTACCGGTAGCTTGAGTTTTCCTTCCCTTGCTTAAGCTACATGTATAGCAGAAATGTGCAAGAGTTCAGTGCTGTTCCAGCTCATTCATAGTCTTACTGCCCACATGCCGATCACATTCTCAGCTGGAAGCCAAAAGAGTAACTCATGAATATTCAAAATATATCCAGGGCAACAACCCAATCAAAAGTTCCCTATTAGTACATGGTCTTCGTAAAAAGAACATCCCCAAAGCACAGTAGACTTCTCAACCAAGTTGGGTGTCCAAGTTGGTCGTGCGACAAGCACGGAAAACAGAGACAGCCACCACTGAATGTAATAATTCATAGCTGGTGTGTTTGGTTGTGCACAGTCAATGTTGGTTTTCATTAGGTTTTTGGTGGATGTTTTCCAAGAGAAAGTGTAATTGTAACTCCAGAAGTGTAATTCGAGATAAATTATTTCCAGAAATGAAAATAGGGTGTGGGTCGAAATGTCAAAAATTGTCCTCCAGTCTCTAAAATTTTTTGTAGACACTTTGAAAACTAGAAATAAAGAAAACAATCCTCAGCCACTTACACAAACTTCAACATTCATAAATTTATATATTCAAATTGATAACATTTACTTGAATATGTAAATGTAATTATTTCAAAATTGAACCCCTCTGGAAACTGTCAGAGGAATAAAAGGAAATTCACTTTAGTGACGATTTACACAGTAACAATATTTCCTGCTCAGTCATAGTGTAACAATGGAAAGTTCATTAAAAAGGAATTTCCATGAGTTGGTTCATAGGTCTGCTTTTTAACATTTCTACCTGGGAAAGCTGGGAAACTGCAAAATGAAAAATTAAGCAGTGGATTACAGCCCCTTTTTTACCCCTTATCTAACAGACTAAAGGTAAATTCAGCAGAATTTTAATTGATACTGTTATTATTCCAGGATCTGCATGACATTCTTACTGATATTTTTGACTGGAAACAGATATTTACTTTTCAAATTTGCAATTTGCATGCTTTCACTTCTGGCCCTTTTCCGAAGCAATTGTAACAAGGCATCTTTGTGGTGGTTTGCAGCGCTGAAGTACATTTTAGTGGTCATGTCATTCAGTTTTTATAGCCCTTGTTGTGTGAAGTATGCAATGGAGCCATATTTTAGCAACAACTCTGGAACGTGTGCCATTAAAACATGAATGCACTGTCGCATGATTCGTCTGGTAAACCGTTACAAATGACTGTAACCACGTCTTACATCTACTTTGAAACAGCTGTACATCAGCAGGGGTAAAGCTGCTGTAGTCACTCTGGAGGGAAATGCAAAGGGCATACATTTCATCCCAAAGAAACTGAGTATCTTCCGTACTACACAAAATATGAGTTGCATCTTGAAAGAGATCGACTACATTGATATTCTGACAGAGCAGGAGTTTCTCTGGGCCACTTAAGTTTAGTTGAGGATTGGCCGACATAAAATGAAAAACCGGGAATTCCAACTTTAGTAAAAAACTCCTCGAGTCTGACACACCTTCTGCATATTTTCCTGTCAAAAATGGCCATGGGTTTTTGGTTATTTCATCAGCCCTTATGAGATCTTGTATGAATAGGTTAAAAAACACATCAGTAATACTGAGAAACATGTGAAGGGTGTCCACAATTATGTCTTTTACAGGAATTGATGGAAAAACTGGAATGTGGGAACAGTTGAATTTAACAGATTTTGGTCAGTTGAGAGTTCTTGATAATTTCTTGTGTAGTTTCGCAACCTTTGGCTGGATCAGACATGGACCATTCAGTGGCTGTTTCGTAAAACTTCTTTGACGGCACTTGCAGTAAACACACGAGTATGTGGCAGAAACTTATCTCCCCCTAGGCAATATACAATACAGTATGTTTTACCATCAACTACAAACTGTTCGAAACGTTCAGTCTGAGATTGGATATCGGCTTAATGTGCTCCCAAAGTTTTATATCCCTTGGAGTCCTGAAAAACTGAAAGAAGGTAATTTCCACCAGTTGTTCCAGTCTGCTTTCCCTCTTCAATAATTGTGAATGTAAAGTTCACAATGTGGATATTTTTACCTATCCACGTACCATCCCCTGACAGTTTACCATGTATTTCATTAGTTACAAGAAATCCTTGTGATCGCTGGTACTCAGCTGTTTTATGAATGAGAACACAAATATTCCTCTGGTAGCCCACTGAACCTTCTGTGTGGGGTACTTTTTATGTCATCCACAGGAATTTTCTTGACAAATTGCTTTAATTTATGCAAAGATGGTAAGCTATCACAAGCAACAGAAAGCTTTTGCTAGGCCTAGTCCAAAATGCAGAACCTGTCTTTCACATAATAAACGCTTAATCTGGTCAGGGCAACTAGTAAAGCCACCTGGTGAAAGCAAATTTATGTCTTGCAAACTACCTGTTTTAAGATTTCTCACAGTTACCTTTTCAGCTTCCAGGCCACAGAATTTAAGAAATTCCAATGCATTTGCACAGTCGTCAGACAAGGCTGCCTTTAGTCTGTACTTGTGGGGTCTGCTGTATGAGTGTAATGGATTAAGCTGTGATCTCCTGTATTTCCTGACAAATTGCCGCACCACAGTTTCTTTGTGTTTATGTGCTGATTTCTTTCCTTTTGATGCGTGAGAGTCTTCTTTCCTTGGACTGTGGTTTTCAGCGAACTTAGTATGAAGAATCTTGAACTTCCATATGCTGTTAGCAGCAATCTTCTTCTTGAATTTTTCCTTCTGTCGTCCACCTTTTTTTTGGATGGCGAAGCTGAATAAGAAATCTTCCTACTTTTACTCGCACTTGATGGCCAGCCGTGGTGATAATCTTAAATGCAACCAATAATGTTGGCAAATTGCCTTAAAAATGTATTCTGTCGCTTCTTTTGTAGCCTTTGAAATTGATTGGTTTACAATAACATCATGCAGGAAAGTTAGTTCCACTTCTG